CTTCCCTCTCTTTCCCCCCCCCCTTTTAAATTCTCCACCTTCTTAAATTCTCTTTTTAGACCTAACTTTCAACTCTCCCTAACTCTTCTATTTCCATGAGTCAAATTACTCTCCTATGTTCTGCTGAGCCCCAAGCCTATCTGTGGCAACAAATGTTTTTCTCACTGTTCTTTGAACATCTCTGCCTTGATGCGCCTCTGGTATCTCAAGGTTAGGCCATTTCCTGACAAAGCTGGTCTTTTTTTGTATTCTCTGAGATATACATAAATAGAATGCCATTTGCCCTTTTTCTTAAACCGGAAGCTTGGCTATTATTCCTTAGTGCTCCTTTCTGATGTCCTAAACCTGATCAGTGACAACAGTTCATCAGCTCTGTCTCCTGCAGGCCCTGACTCCACCTCTTCTCACCTTCCCCACTCTCAGCCCCTCCATCTAATCTTCTCAATTGCTTCCTGAGTGAAGGCAATCAATGTCTTGCTAACTTCTCTGTCTAATCCAGTCTCAATCCTTTCCCTCGCATCTTCCCTTTGATGCCAAGTTGCCCTTTTAAATACATATTCATGGTGGCATTCACTTTTAATCCTATAGTTGGTTCCTCAAATCTGTATAAAAAAGTTCAAAATTGTAAGAATGACGTACATGGTATATGTGACCCATTGGCATAAACACCTTCCTCTTCATCCAGTCTCCTTGCTAAAACATTGTTTCAACACGCTCTGCACTTTAGACATCATAACGTGTATTCCATGTGCAGAAGGCAATTTACACTCTTCTTCTTTGTGACTTTGTACATACTGTTGCTTTTGTCTGGAATGCTCCTTGTGGTGGTCTCTTCACTTAGCTAAATCTCAGAATTCAAAAGCACCTTGGATATCTTCTTCAAGAATTTCCTCCCTTGACACCCTCCTGTAACCCTCTCTTAGTGTAAGCCTTCATGCATTCTTCTGGCATATGGGCAAACCTCTGCACAGCCTTCAGTCCACAGTCACTTGTTTCCCTGACAGTTTTTGTGTGAATTGATTGGAGAAAAACAATAATGTAGAATACATTACCCTGACTTACATGATTTTCCTTCACACTCACTCACCAACCCTTGCAGTGGAGGAAGGGGGCTCCCCACTGCTGTCTACCAGCAGCAGAAGCTAACAGCTGGAGAGAGGCTTTGACCCACAACCAACCCTTGAAGCAGTGGGAAAACAGTCACCTGTTTTTGTTAGTTACTGCTGATTGTTAGAGATTTAGGTTGAGGAGAGAAAAGTGCAAGGGCCAAATCAAAAGAGGGAAGAAAAGTTAAAAGGCTAAAGAGATAAACAAAGGAATGACTTGAAGCAAAAAGGTCTTCACCAATTTACCGTCAACCTGGAATCAAAAATCCTGACCTATGAAGTGCTCTATTTGCATACAGTGCAAGGGGAAAAGAAAGCTAGATTTGAATAAACAATCAAAGAAGCCACAGTCAATAATTTATCTTCAAATCAAGAAGCAGAGTAGCTTTACTACAACATAGCTGAAGAGGCAGTGGAGGCTTCGAGCAGTTACAGTTATCTGGAGGTAGAGAGGACAGGACTCAGCTGAGCCTTCTTTTCTTGTTCCATACTTCCTTGGTCTTCATCACAGTAGGACAAGCTATATGTAATTACTTTGGACATTTGTCAGGGAGCCAGAACAGAGGATAACTTGCTTGAACACTGTGCAGGAGAAAAGGGAAAACCTCCATCTCCTGGCCTTCCATCTCCATGATGAAAACAGAAACGATTAGGAATTTCCCTATGAGTCCTGATAGTATTTGACACCACCATTGTTGTATCTGCTTGGTTAAAAAAGCTGTTGCTCAGAAGCACTGAAACAGATGACACTGTAGAGCCTATGATGATTCCTTCTCTGGATTCTTGCTCAGCCTTGACACCAATAATCTGAGCACTGCTTATTTTCACACTTCCCTACTAAAGGAGAAGTAAGTGGGAAGAAAGGCATTTACCATGCTGTTGACTCTAGAAAATCCAAGTTAGTTATTTGAAAAGTTCTTGTTAGGAACTCACAACTAAATATACAGTTCTTTAAAAATAAAATCATAGCCCGGCGCAGTGGCTCATGCCTGTATTCCCAGCACTTGGGAGGAGGAGTTTGAAGCCAGTCTGGGCTCCAGAGTGAGTTCAAGTCCAATCTGAACAGCTTAGCAAGATCTTGTCTCAAAAAAAAGTTAATTAAAAAACTAAAATCGTACTTAATGAACTCGTTTTCTGTTTTTGCAAGAGCAGGTCATTGTTACATTTTCACATTTTTATAATTATGCCTTTTAAATTATTCAAATGGTGGCCTGTACTTAATATTATGGAATAAAAATAGCATTGGAAGCGGAAGGACAAAAGGCAAAGAATGTCCCATTGGAATTGACATATATTTAATTACTGTTTCTTCAGGAGTAGTGAAGCAATTTTTATGTAAAGAATTTGAGATTTTAATAAAACCAAATCCTAATCTGAAAGGAAAAAATTGGGCGGGGGCATGGTTTTGAGGCAGGGTTTCACTATGCAGTTCAGGCTGAATTCACTATGGAGCCAAGGCTGGCCTGGAATTTGTGGTAGTCCTTCTGCCTCTGCCTCCCAAGTGCTGGGATTATAGACCTGCACCACCACATCTAGCAAAACAACTTTTTACATAAATTACAAATGCTCTCATAAAAAAAAATCAAGTATAAGATGTAGAAATCAATACATTTGATTTAGATATTTAAATCTAGTATTCTAGATTTAAATCTAGTATTTTGGTTCTTGTAAGCTGAGAATGAAGACTAATTATGGCAACAGAAAACACAAACAAATGTTAGGAAGTTATAATATAGGCTACCATTTATCAAGTCACTTACTATGTTCTGAGAATGGTGGCTATCTCTTTTTAGACTTTCTATTATTTAATCCACTCAGTTCCTTTTTGAGTAAGATATTCTTACTTCCTATTTTTGAGAAAAGAAAACATAAGTGTGATTCAATAACTTATTAAAAGTCCCATAATTTCTGGAAATGAAAATGAGTCCATTTTATTCCAAAGTCTATAGGTTTATTATGGTTTAAATATGAACTGTCTCTCAAAGATTCATTTATTGAGAGCTTGAGGTTCAAAGGGGGATGTGACTTCATCAAGCAGTTTGTCCATCAGTGAGATCATCAGCTGAATGGGCTACTGGAAGGTAAGGCCTATTTGAAGGCCTATTTGAAAGATACTATTTGAGTATCTTTCTGGAAAGGTATCCACAGTCAGGACCAGCCCCCTTCTCTTTCTGGCTTTTCCATCCCCTCTGCTTCCTAGTTGCCAGGAACTGAGTATCTTTCCTTCATCACAGCCATGATGTTTCATGCTCACTAAGACCTAGAAGAAATGGACCCAGATGACCAAGGAGCGAAACCATGAGGCCAAACACAAGGGGACACTTGACTTACTAACTCAATTGTTTCCCGAGGCCTGGCTGTTACTCGGGTTGTCAATTGGGGACTCAGGCTCCTCTACATAGCTTTCAAAGTCTCTCCCAGATACAAGCAGATCTCAGTGTATTTAGAGAGATATTGGCCCAAGATTTCTCAGCCCCATACAGGAAAGGACTTTGTAATGTGCCTTCCAAAACTGTTTAAGGGTTGAATCTGTATCTGAGACCATCCGGAAGCAGAGCAGCCAGCATTCGAGTCATAACTCAAGACTTTGGTCATAAATTAAAAGTAAAATTCCAGTCATAACCCAAGTTGTTGGTATGTCAGGCCCGTCATAACTCTAGGGTCCCCAGGAAGCATTTCCTCCTACAAGTGATCTTCTCAGGCATGTGGTTACAGCAACAAAAAGCTGAGTAACGCAATGTTTCTGTTACTCACAGACTATATATTCATATTCAGGAACCAGTCTGGTTTGCCTTCCACTAGTATGTAAGTTCGATTAATGTTAATTTTAACTTGTACATGCTCTTCCTTGTCATAAAGATTTTACGGTTCCTAAACTATTTTTTAAAGTCAATTACATACATTCCTAATTTTAGGAATGAAGAATAATGGGAACTAAGAGCCAAAAGAAAAGCAGGTACATTTGTAAACTCACATAATGGATTTAAACATTTTTAATTAAATTACTATTTAAATACTCTCCATTGTCAATTTATATTCATTAGGTAAGTTTCCTTTCATGTGGGACCAAAGTTCCCTCCTCATCTGAGCCGTTTTCTAAAAGTTGCCAGCTTATGTGACATTTTCAGTACCTATGTACCTATAGTACTGCTCTTTACAGTCTGCCATACACCTTTCATTTGAAGTCATTTAAAATATTATGCCAACTCTTAAATTTAGATTTGTTTCAAAAAGGAATTCACAAAATTGATAAAGGGTCAAGAAATTACATAGTCCAACTCCACCGTACTATTTAATAAAATCACAAACGAGACAAGGATCAATCCATCTTTAAATCTTACAAGAGTACCCTCTGGAATTTTAACAAACCACACCGCAGAAAATCTACGACCCCTCTCTGTGCAATGAAAAATCAAAGCTTGACTTTTTTTTTTAAAAAGTCATTGTATTTTTGAAAAAAAAAAAAAGGCTGGGGGAGCCAGACCAATGAGCAACCAGTAAACTACACAGAACAAAAACTCCCAGTACATTCTGGAATGATAGCCTGACAATCTGGCTGGTGTCAGAACGACCTGCCCAGGGCAAGCTTTGGCTCGCTGTTTTCAGTTCGCCCGGCTGGAATGAACAAGCATTGGGAAATCCTCCAATAAGAGACGTTTAGCAGTAAGGGCGTGGTCACAAGAGGGCGGAGAATTGGGCGTCAGAAAATGGGAAGTGTGTGCTGATTGGCAGAGCTTCTTGCCTCTAGGACCCGGCTCTCTTTGGACCGTGGAGACCATCAGTCGAAAGAACTACACCAATCAGCGATGAAAATGCCCATTCGCGGGAAAGCCCCGCCCCCCAATATACTGTATTTCTCCCGAGGTCAGGCGCAGCCCCTTCGCTGCGGTCCGCTGGAGGAGGGCGGTACAGTCTCCGGGGCGCTGCGGAGACCTCCACCCCGGACAGTTCTCCCTCCCCGGGCCTCTCCCCTTCTGCCCCCGAGTGTCCTCGCCTCCTAGGCCTGTCGTATCCGATATCGTGGGACGAGGTGAGAGCAGGCCCGGGGAGGGTGCTCACGCCAAGGAGCCGCAATCTCTGCCAAGGTGAGCTGGGACTCGGGGGCACCCTGGTGCGGGTGGGGAGCGAAGTCAGGGCTGTGTCTGACCCGAGCCTTTTTCCCGCGGTGTGGGCACAAGCCCGGGCTAGTTGGAGCCTGGGGGGTGGAGCCGATCCGACCTCCTGCGGTGTCTTCGCGACTCGCCAGCGCGGTAAGGATTGAGACATGGACCCCTGAAGTTAGTGGTTCTTGCCTGTACAGCGCTAAGACCCCTGCCTTCCCGTCTTTAAATTGGTGCGAGGGGGGACCTTCGGTACATGCAAAACTCGCATGCGCGCTTTTATTGGGATTTTCAGGTTTATCGTGCAGACCAGGTTAGCCCCGGTCCCGCGACTTGCTCTCTACACTCTTTAATTTTCCTTTTCTAACGGTGATGAAACTTAAATGGCATGGAGTGCTGTGTGCTAAGTAATGTGCTGTGCTCCAAATAAATCATCTTGTATAATCTTTACAGCTGTTCAACAGATACTGTAGTATTACCGTTTTACATAGGTAGAAATAAGCTCATCAGAATTGCCCAGTGATTATGAAGAACCTACCAATGTGCTTTTAATGTGGTTTCGTTTAATCCATGCAACGCAACAAGATAATGAGACTTTTCTCACTTACAGATGAATTAAGGAGCAGTTCGCTTTGTCAATATATAGCAATTCATACTGCCACCTGATTTCAGTTTTGTTATCCTTACTGTGTCTGTTAGTGGTTATCAATTGGAGGAGAATAACTACAAGTATTTCTTGTTTTTAAAGGTATTGTTCCTATCTTCTAGGAACTCTCAATTTAAGATGTGACCAACTTGTAGAAAGGAAAAAAGTAATATCACTTTACATTAAATTAGGTTCATTCTCCCCTCTGAAGGAGAGGAGACATGAATTTCAAAAAGTGCTTCGTGGTATAAAACCGAGAAGGCTAAGGAGCACGGAAAGGGCTACTCTTACACTCCTTTCTGGGATTTGTTCTATATATAGATGATAGAAGTACTGACAACAACTGACTCCCAGAAACTGCTACACCAGCTGAACACACTGTTGGAACAGGAGGCGAGATGTCAGCCAAAGGTCTGCGGCTTGAAACTAATTGAATCTGCACATGATAATGGCCTCAGAATGACTGCAAGACTAAGGGACTTTGAAGTAAAAGATCTTCTTAGTCTAACTCAGTTTTTTGGCTTTGATACGGAGACATTTTCTCTAGCTGTGAATTTACTGGACAGATTCCTGTCTAAAATGAAGGTATGTTTAAGTTACAGTAGTGTGAGTTTTGCTTGATGTATTTAGAGATGGAATTGCTGGCTCTTGCCTGGTATTTATATAAGCTTGCATTTTCAGTGAGTAATCAGACCACTATGGTAATTCTGTGTACTGTAACAGTAGTAGTCTTCCATAATGTAAGAGCAATGCATCTTTGATTAGTTATATTCTGAGATGGAATGTAGTCTAATATCAAATAGTTACTTGCAGAATCTTTAGGGAAATTGGCTATTTTTAAAAACTTTTTTTGATTGCTTGGATATATCTATTTTCTTATAGCTGTTTTCATACGTAAAGAAGTTTGTGGATTCAGTTTTAGTTCCTTTTTTTTTTTTTTTTTTTCCAGTACTGGGGATCGAACTCAGGACCGCATGCTTGCCACATAGGCACTTTCGATCCTGAGCTAAATCCCCAGCCTCTACTTAAAGCAATTAGAGGCAAAATGCTAGATTGTGGTTAAGAATTAGGATAGTAAGCAATATCCAGTTTAAAGTTCTGATTGTTTCCAGCCTGTGTACCTGCAATAGAGGAGCTTTTCTATTGTTACTTTCCTACCTAAACAAACATCTGTAGAGCTCCTAAAGCTTAAGTGTTAAAAACATATCTGCCTTCCCTATATGCCCTGGAGTACTGCAAAATAATGAGATGTCACAATTAGAATGAAACTCAGTAGCAAACACAATTCATCATGGATAGAATGAAGTATTTGTTGAATAGTTAAAAAATTAGTTCAACAGATTAAAGAATTCTTTGCCATCTAGCATACATAGGCACTGCCTTTGAATCTGGTAATTTTGCACAAATGAGTTATATGCAGATGTCCTTCAAATATAATGGGGTTATGTGGGAACAAAGTGATTACACAGATAACTACATATCGTTCAAATCATCATAAGAAAAACAATTACAATATGCCTTTGTGGTGGCATAAATTTACTACTGAAGGTCACAAGGAAAGCAAACAGAAGACAAACATCGATGTAACCTTAAAGTTTCATTCAAGCTGGAACATAAAATTACTGGACAGAACTGTGAATGTGCTTTACAGTGTAGTCACTTAGAAAATAAAGGAAAAACTGGTTAAGGATAGAACTTTACAGGCAGAGTAAAGAGTACACGTTACATTCTCTTAAAACTCTTTTATATGAGTCCCTATAAAGAAAACAGCCTGGAAAAACACACCACATCCTACAAAGATAATCTTGAATAAGCCAAAAGCGTTAGTCTTGGTGTTGTCACTGACCATTTATTTAACTTACCTGGTTGGGTTGAATTAGACCAAATTACTTGCTTATAGTCTTACTGTAATTAAAAATCAGTAGGGAATTTTTATGCTGCAACCAAACAGGTCAAATGGGGCATGTAATAACAAGCTACGGTTGTTTAGGTGAATGTTAAATCCATCACAGCTAAGAAACATATTCCAAAGATAACATCTTTATAATGGTGGGTTTTACTTCTAGGTTATCCTTTTACTAATAAAAAAAGAGATACAGCCTTAACTATTTTCGGTCTTGTTTTTAGGTACAGCCCAAGCACCTGGGGTGTGTTGGACTGAGCTGCTTTTATTTGGCTGTAAAATCAATAGAAGAGGAAAGAAATGTCCCATTGGCAACTGATTTGATACGAATAAGTCAGTACAGGTTCACGGTTTCGGACTTGATGAGAATGGAAAAGATTGTATTGGAGAAGGTGTGTTGGAAAGTCAAAGCTACCACTGCCTTTCAGTTTCTACAACTCTATTATTCCCTCATTCAAGAGAGCTTGCCATTTGAAAGGTATGTACCTTTAAGTATGAAAATTAGAATGATACTGTCTGGGTATTTCCTAAAATCAATGTTCTCTTAGAATTCTATCAAAACTCATGTTTGGTGCCTTCAAGAAGTTAGTATCTCTGATGGAAGGGATTTTATTTCAAATAATTTTCTCTCTATAGAAAATATACATAAGCTTTATTTTAAAAACTATTTCCTTAAAATGTCTCCCAAATAGATGTAATCTACATAAAATCAATCCCATTTTATTTTTAAAGGAAAAACAACCTAAATTTTGAAAGACTAGAAGCTCAGCTTAAGGCATGTCACTGCAGGATCATGTTTTCTAAAGCAAAGGTAAGCATTTTACAAAGATTAAAGCTTGTTACATAGGCCCATTTTATATTTGATGTTTACTTTATACTTGTGTCTTCTAGCCTTCTGTGCTGGCTTTATCTATCATTGCACTGGAGATCCAAGCACAGAAGTGTGTTGAGTTAACAGACGGAATAGAATGTCTTCAGAAACATTCCAAGGTAGGTCAAAGTCAGCCTAAATCCTATTAACTGCAAAAGAAACTTAACCACTTGCACTCTTTCCTGAAGAAAAATGAGTTATGTGTTTGTATGAAATTTAAGGAGCTAGCCTCAATTATTTCTTGATGAGGAAAAAAAAAACCACATTAAATATGTTACATGTACCAACTCCCCACATTGAATTATGTACTGCATACAAGTGCTAATAAATTTTTAAATTAAGAACTTTAAAAAGAAAAATGTTAATAGGATTGTATTTATTACTATAATTAAGTACAGTAGAACTTTTAGTTGATTTACTAACTTTTATAAATGTATATACAGATAAATGGCAGAGATCTGACCTTCTGGCAAGAACTTGTATCCAAGTGTTTAACTGAATATTCATCAAACAAGTGTTCCAAACCAAATGTTGAGAAGCTGAAGTGGATTGTTTCTGGGCGTACTGCACGGCAACTGAAACATAGCTACTACAGAATAACTCACCTTCCAACAATTCCTGAAACGGTTCCTTAATTGGTAAATTTGGTTGTTTTTGTGTGTATACAGAAAATTGTATAATTTTTTATACAATTCAAGTACTGAAACATTATCTTCAAAATAAACCATCTGGAGTTGGAATAGCAAAAGGGAAAAAAAAATAACATCACCAATCTAGTCATCTCATATTTGAAGGAATATACTATATATAAGGTACAACACCCTAAGGAAAGGAGTTATCCAATCTCCTATGTATATTAACCATTTCATTAAATCAGCAGTTTAGAAAACAACATCCTCTTTAGTAATCTGAATTTCTAAAATAGCTCTGAAGCAGTGGTTTTTTAACTGCACATTTTGCATACCTAGCCCCATGCTCTAGATTATTTAAAATCGTAACAGGACCAAAAGTTTGATCCGTATGTGAACTACTTTGAGAGTGTTAGCTCATAAGCAGAACCATTATGAATTTGAGTACTATTCCAAAAACACAGATGATGTCTTTTGAGTTTCTGAAAATTGCCAGTGTGTCAGCATACTGGTGTTGCAATCAGAATACTATAAATTCATAAAAATATTTTTTGTTCTTGTCATCTAAATTTATTAACTTACAGTAATGATTTGTCTTTTCCTACTCAAAACTAAATGTTAACATTTACTATATCTACATATGATTGTGAAACTTAGGTATGAGAAATTTACTTTTAATAACTAGCAGTGTTTAGACCAACTTTTGATAAGTTGGGGACTTTTGTTCTTTACATAAGTAGTATTATTGAAGCAACCAAAAACATGTGTTTGAAGCCTTTCTCCACAGCCTTTCTCCATTATGGATTCCATAACATTGTAATGGATTTAAGTTATGAAGCCTCAAAACATCACAACTGGATTAGTATGATTTTCTTCATCTTGTGAAAACCACCTAATAGAATGCTGTTGTAGGGTTATTTACATTTGAATTCAACTGTAAAGCTAAAGGAAAAATGTGAAATATTTAATATAAGCCTGAAAAGGTGAACTGTGAATCTTCCTTTCTAACATTAACCTAACTTTCTACATTCGATTAATATGTTATATTTAGGTGATACTGAAAATGGTAACCTACTTAATTTAAATGTTAAAATTTTAAATTGCAAGGTTTACATCAAAACCAACATTTCATACATGTACTTTTTTAAGGCATAAATAGGTTTATATTCTAGATAATGTAATGGTTTCTTGGCGCCCATAATGCAAGTAATAATGTAATTCAGAGATAGAATGTTATTGCTATATGGGAATTGTATTTAAATCTAAAGACAGTTTTTATTAAGCCAAAATACAGACCTAGTAGACATATTCATTGGGCTATCTTTAATATTTCTTCTAAAAAAATAGCTTATGTTTGTATCAATGATAAAAAAATTTTATATAGAATCTACTTCCTCAGTCTAGTTCCATTAAAAAGTACATGTTGTATTATTATTACATAGTAACTCAAAACCAATTACCATTATGAAAACTTGCTTTACCCTAAGTTCTGGCTAGATGAAGCACTCCAGAAGATTTTACTATGGACTTTCTATAAAACTGCCATTGCTTCTAGTTTTTTTTTTAATAGAATATACTTTCACAAATTTTTATAGTACATATATAGTACATATATGTACTACTAGCATTGTAAACAATAACCCAGTGAGGCCTGAATCCTCAGTCTATCCAGAAAGGACGTAACCAATTTCAGTATGTTACACATAAATAAGCATTGAAAAATAAACCAAAGAACCATAGTATATTCTACCTTTAACTTTTTGTAAACTGTGTTTTATGGATAACTTAAGTATTACCAAAAGATTGATATATTTCCGTATTTTGAAAACATCAGTTATTAATTTTGAGTTGGCAGAGGTAACCTAACCAACTACCATTGTGTTTGGTACTAAGAGATACACCTTTCAATAAAATTATTGAAATGCAACCCTTTGCTGAATTTTCTTTTCTGATTTTAGCAATGTGACTAAGTGATAAGCTACATCAGTACATTTAAATTTTACACTAAGATGCACAAGAACAGAAACAATAAAATCTTATTACCTAGTTGACCTTTTACCTTCTGATTTTTTAATTACATACAAGTATGTTTAGTGTGCATTCAAAAGGTGTATTCACGCATTACTAATCACTTGTTATTGAGTACCGTTATGAATGCTATCCTAAAAATTTAGCCTTAGTCTGCCTACCCGAAGTTTTGTGCAAACCCTCTTAAATAGCATTTCAGCAGGGTGATTGGTAATGACAGTCTGCTTGGATCAAATGATATTATTGGAAAAAAAAATGTCAGGTTTTTGGCACAGTTGAGAGAAGAAGACAGATTAAAAAAAAAGCCAAGCCCTTGTTGCCAGCACGGGAGGGCTGCAGGAGACTGCAAGGACCCTCAAAGGAGACAAAGCTACGAGTTGCTTTTAGGGGACTGGGATAAGTGGAGACTACCAGAGTGGACAGGTCATCATGCTGGGAGAGGACTGGAGGACTTTTTGATGTAGAGGGTGGAGACTCCAGAGTGAGTGGTGTCAGGAGGAATGGGAGGACCTTTGGTGCATGTGTGAAAGGGAGACAGAAAGTTTATTGTTTTGGGACCAGAAGATGAATGTGGGGGTTAGTGCAGGAGAGCTCTGCTGTTGCTTTGGGGGTTGGCACCATGATGGACTGGTGCCATGTAGACTGGCACCTACAAGCAGAACCCATCACAAACTGTATGGTTCTGAACTATTCTTGTTCAATTACAACAAGCTATAATGTTGTCATTGCAAGGAATTACTGGCCAAACTAGGATTGTTTTGTACTTCACCTCTGTTAGGCATATTAAATAACTCCTGTTTTTACAGTGCTACTTTTTAAAAAGCTTCCTACATTATGTGTATTTCCAATTATGAGACATTATCTAAAAGCAGTATTTTCTGATACAACATTTATAGCTGGCAGTGATCATCTGTGTTGTCAGGCATTACTGCCAGGTGTTCTGGATGAATCATCTGATGTAATTCTTAAACTGAATGAGGTGATCTCAATTTACAAATGAAGCAGAAAGACAGAGAAGGCAAATGATTTGCCCCAGGTCTTATGTATGTGCTGCTTGGTGGTAAGATCCAGATCTGGGCAGCCAGAGAACAACCCTTCTCTTTGTATCCTGCACATAATCCACCAAAACAGGATTAACTGCATTGATGTGAGATTGTGTAATTTCCAATCAATACTATATTCTGACCACAGTAACTTTAGTGCTTTTATAGTCATAGTAGGATAATACTCTGAGAATTTTCTGTTTACTAGTAGATAACATTTCTAAAACATGGCCCTGCTTACAAATTGCCAAGTGTACAATGTAACTTTCCATAAACCCACAGTAGCAAATACATACTAATAGGATGAATTAGAAGGTAGGGCCAGTTTTTACACTAATTCAATAATGTAGTTAGGAAGAGCAACCAGAATTACTAAGTATAGAGGAGGCCTTTACACAATGCTCAGCAATTAACCAACATGACATGACAATCCTAGATGTAAAAGAAACACAAAATATCAGAGCTTAAAAATACTGAGAGCAAGGCTGGGGACAGCTCAGTGGCACAGCGCCTGCCTGGCAAGCGCAAGGTCAGTTCAATTCCTAGTACCAAAAACGAAACACAGCAAAAACTGAAAGCACTGACAGAAGAAATGGACAAATCTTCAGTTAAAAGTTGGATAATTACATTATTCCTCTCAGTAACATACGAATTATGAGAATACAAAGAAAGAACTGAATAGCAGAACTGAATTGACTTAAAACAATATCCTAAAGCAGCAGACTAAGCATTCTTTCCAAGTACACGTGGAGCATTCATCAAAATAAACTATCTTGGGTCTTAAAACTTTAAAAATTTGAAAGAAATGAAATATAATGTATACCTCTAAACATAAAACTAGAAGTAAGTCTGAGTTGATAGTAACTAAGGTACATAAAGCGACTAAATGCTATTGTTTGGTTATGCAGGCCTGGGGCCAGCAGTCTGAGCCTCTTGGGAGGATGACAGTATGCAATATGGCAAACATGGGGGATTTCCTTTTATCTTGCCTTTGAAACCCAATATTGTTCTCATATTTTGCTTTATTCTGACTGTTTTGCTCTATTCCATATTCTGTTTTGATTGGGTTTATTCTGTGTTGTTTTTGCTTTGATTGTTCTATGCTTGATGGAATGGACAACTATTGTGAAGATACACTATGGTAGCTACTGTTGTTTTCCTGGTATCCTGCTTTGAAGTTCTGTACCAATTTTGCTGCACTGCTTTAATTGGCTTTGTTCTGTCCTGTTTTGTTGGCTTTTACTATCTTTAAAATAAAAAAAGAAAAATTAAAAACCAGAAATAAGTAACGTAAGAGGAAAATCTAACCTTTTGGAAATTAAACAAAATTACACATATAGCTTTAAGAAGTCTCAAAAGGAATTATAAATATTATAGGGGGCTGGGGATTTAGCTCAGCGGCATAACTGCCTGCTTTGCAAACAGGCAGTCTTGAGTTCGATCCCTGGTACCGATAAAAACGAAACAAACAAACAAACAAAAAAAGACCAAAAAAAAAATATTATAAACTGAGTGAAAATGAAAATACAAACCAGTATTCAAACAGTAAAGTATGGTAACTGCTTTTATTAAATAAGGAAAAAGATCTTAATTCAAAAAGCTTCTAGTTTATGAAATTAGGCAGGAAAAAAGCAAAATAAAACCCAAAGCAAGCAGAAGGAAGACAGAGAAAAAATCGAATTAACAATAGAAAATGAACAAAATCAATAATGTTCTCTGAAAAGAGCTGTAAAACTGATGAATTAGCAAAATTAGCAAAGAAAAGACAAATTACCAATACTAGGAATGAAAGAAGCCAGGAACAGAGGCACTCCCAGTACTCAGGAGGTTAAGAATGCCAAGTTCGAAGCCTGCCTAGGCTACAAGTAGCAAGTTTGAGGCCAGCCAGAAATACTATACATAGTGAAACCCTCTCACACACACATAAATACTTACGTGTGCTCTTAGTTATAAGAGCCAATAATACTAAAAACCTTGAAGATACTAAAGGACCCTAAGAAAACAATTCTGTCCCGAGAGTTTGATGAAATCACTCAATTCCTGAAAGATAACTATCAAGCTTAACTAAAATTAAGTGGATAGCAGGAATAAATTCTTTACTTTTAAAACTGAATCCACTGTTTAAATCCTTACTAGCAAATTCATAACACATTTAAAGAATAAACAAGACTAGTAGTTTTTTCCAGAAAATAAAACACACTCATTCTTTTTTGTATCAGGGATCAAACTCATGACCTCGTTTTTGCCAGGCAAGCACCTGTGCCACTGAGCTAAATCCCTAGCCCTCATTCATTTTATAAGATCAGAATTACATGACACTAAAGAAAAAGAGAGCAAAAGCAGAAAAGAAACGATTGAATAAACTGTAGAAAAGCTGAAGAAACAATAGTAAAAACAAAAAAAAGAAAACCAGAACTAATTATATAAAAAAGCCAGGGAATCAACAGCAAAAAACAAAACCACCAGGACTAGTAATCACTGAATTTAGCAAGTTCACAGGATACAAGGTCAACAAACAAAAACCAAATATATCTGTATACACTGGCAATGTACAATTGGACACCCAAATTTCAAAAACAAAATATTTACAACAGCTCCCTCTAAAAATGAACACTTAGGAGTAAATCAAATAAAAATACAATGGATTTATAATCTAAAAACTACACAAAAGGCTGATGACTAAAATCAGAAAGGCATTAAATGTTCCTGGATTGTAAGATTTACAAAACTTCATTCAACACCTTCACAGGACTTTCATAGATACAAACTAATTCTAAAATTTATATGGGAAGATAAAAAATTAAAAATACCCAAAACAGTTTTGAAAAAGTTGGATCATTACCCAATTTTAAGACTTACTGTGAAGTTATGATAATCACAGCATTACGGTATTGGCCAAAGAATGGATACTAACTACACCAATGGAAAAGCAACTCCAAAAATAGATCCCCTTAAAAACAATTTTTCACAAAGGTACAAAGACAGTTAAGTGCAGCAAGGATGATATGTTCAGCATACGACTTTTTTTGAGACAAGGGCTCAGTATTCAAGGCTGGCCTTCAGCTCACTATATACCTGAGGCTGGCCTCAAAATCATGGTGATCCTCCTGCCTCAGCCTCCCAAGTGCACCACAGGCATGCACCACACCTTGCTTTTTTTTTCATGTTTGTTTCTCACTGTTGTTCAGCAAATAATTTTGAAACAAATAGTCAGCCATACAAAAAAAAAGGAACTCCATCTAAATTTCACAGCTCATACAAATTAAGATGGGTCACATTTAAAAGTCAAACATAAAAGTTAAGAAATTTAAACGACACTAAAAAAATAATCCTTATTACCCGAGATTAAGGAAAGAGTTCATAGACATAAGAAGTGTGGTCAAAATATATGATGAACGTTTAAATTTTAAACATACTATATAAAAGACATCATTAATTTCCCTCTACATTATCCCCGTGTTGGAACACACTTAGCCCATCATGCTTGCCGCTCTGGGAGCAGTGGTGGATGTCCCCCTTCATGAGTGTCTCTATAAGGTATGATCAGAACTACAGTGAATGTTCACGCTGAGTGCATCCAACAGTGAGGCAGGCTTGTCAACACAGTAAGTTCTCATCTACCTTCTTAACTGGAACTGGCATAGTATGACTTCTGGCTCCTCCCCAAAGACAAAATGACTATGAAAAGTAACCATTTGGAATTGATTCAGGACACTGAGGCAGCCATGACAGCATAGCTATGATGCTCTACAAAGATCATTTCCAGAACTGCTGCAGAAGTGGCAGAATGATGGGATAAGTGTGTTCCAAGCAATACTATTTAGGTTGAGATTAATAGCAAGTACATTGAATGTAACGAATTCTTAAAATTATTCACTATTTTTTTAGTCGCATCTGATACATCAAGAATATGATCCACCAACAGCACAATGGATTAAACTTCATCAGAGTTAAAAACTTCAGTGCTTCAAAAGATGCCACAGAGAAGTAAAAATAACCCACAAGAGAAATTACTTACAACCCATATATCTAAAAATGAACTTGTGTCCAATACATAAAGAAATCTTATTATTAAGATAATTCAGTTCCAAAATGGGCAAAAGGTTAGAATAAACATTTCTCCAAGGAGGACAGACAAATGTTCAATAAGCGTAGTGAACAGTGCTTGACACAATTATTTTTCAGGAAAATACAATTTCATACCCACAAGAATGACTAAAGTCAAACACAGTAACAAAAGTTGGCAAGGATGCAAATACAATAGAACCCTCGAATAATACTGCTTTGGAAGTGGTAGTTCTTTAAATGACTAAACAGACGTTGCCTAAAAATTATATTGCGTGGCAACAAAACACATATGCACATGAAAACTTGTACACAAACGTTTACAGCAGCACAGCCAGATGCTGGTAACAGACCAAACATCCATTAATTTACAACTGGATTAACAAGTGTGAAAGTCATAGAATGGAAAATTACATAAAAATGAAATCCTGGAATATGCTACAATATGGATGAATTTCTAGAAAACATTAAGTCAAACAGAGTCCAGTAACTGAGGACCACATTGTACGATTACACGTATCAGAAATGTCTAGGACAGGGAAATCCAATAGGAGGTTACTTAATTAGGCAGTGGGGGGAAGATGATACCTACAAGGCAGAGGTTTATATTTTATAATGAAAAGGTTCTAAAACTCACTATGCTGACACTTGAATATACTGTGCACGTAGGATCATATATTTTAAATTTGAGAAATGCAACATATGAGAATTATGTTCCAAAGCTATTTAATGTTACACAGGACTCGTGTGTGTGTGTGTGTGTGTGTGTGTGTGTGCATTGTTGTTTTTGAAGTATTGGGGTCTGAACACCCCTAGGGCCTTTACCCTGAGCTACATCACCTACCTCATCCCTTTTGTAAAATTCTAAATTGCTCAGGATGGACTCAAACCTGTGATCCTCCTGATTCTACTCCCAGAGTGCTAGGATTACAAGGTGCAACACAGTAGCACACAGATGCTGTGGTTTTGATGGTCCTGGAGATGGAATCTAGGGCCTTGAGTATGCTAGGCAAGGTTTCTCATTACGCTGTATCCCCAGCTTTTAGGATTATTTTAAATACCATTAGCCACTAAAAAGAACCTGGGTTATTTGGAAAAAAGCTGATTCCTGGGCTAAGGCAGGAAATGTGTAACAAGCCCTGTGTACGTGGGTCAGAAAAGAAACTGTTCAAATATTGATGAGAACACATCACAAGGTCACAAACACTACCTAGAATGGTTTGTACCCCCTACAAACTAATACACTAAAATTTTTTCTATTTTTTATTAACTCTGAAAATTAAGTTCCCCAAAATAGTACTGTTGAGTTTTCCTTTCTTAAAATTTTTTTCAGCACTGTACTTCATCATGTGAACTGGTATTCTTAGACAGAGAGGTACAAACTTCTATTTAGAAGAGTTTATTGAATGTTATTCCTGCATCACACTTAGCAAAGAAAAACAATTTTTCCCTGATGGCATACTTTCATTTCATATCACATACATTGATGTTTTTTGTAGTAAAAATACAATTAAATATGAAATTAGTAAAATGCAGCATATAAAATGTCATGCTGAGCAAAAACAAGTCCAAAAAGTTATCATATATCCATAGATTAGCTCTCGTAGTACGTTTCCTATGTAAATCATATTTAAATACAATTTTAGAACCATACTTAAATATATTTTACAATTTGTTAACCGTAGGCATCCTTAGTCGTCTTCTATTACATAATCTGTTCCTTTGATTAAATTGGTAATATTTGTTAGGATCCACAGAATGCATTTAAAAAATAGCAATTATTTCTCAAGGTTCGAGAAATCTGGTCCACCTTTAGTATAGTTTCCTGAGATTTCTGCTCCACTGAAGTCAAAACCAGGATTCTAAAGAATAAGAAAAAAATAATAAAATGTACAATGAAAAAAAGCATGAATTGGCAATTGATAAAAAAATTTTAAAAACTAACATCTTTTGAGAGTTTACTACATGCCATGCAGGGTTTTTTTTATAAGCTACATTAACACATTTAAGCCTTGTGATAATCCTGTAAAGTAAACAGTGTCTCTGGCTTTCCAAAGCCTTTTCAGGCTGTGTGTGGTAGGAAATACCAGCATGCAGGAGGCTGGAGGATCATCTTGGGCCAAGAGCAGCCTGGGCTACACAGTGAGTAAAACATCAGCCTAAACTACAGGACATAGCAAGACCTTATCTCAAAGAAAGTCTTTTCAGTGGGCAATCTCTCTTGTCTAATGAAGACTTATTGACTTCCATCTGTCTTTAAGACACCATAAAACGAATACAAAGTTTAATAATGAGGAAAAACAAAGATCTTTGCTCTAGCAGAGCATATAGTGTAGTAGAAAAAGACGAGGAATAAACTGTAAGTTACTTAGAGGTTATTAACTTTTCTAAAAAAGTACAGGAAGGTAGTATGTTTCTGAACAGCACGCAGTCTCTGTCACAAATACTCAAGATAATACACAAATGAATGAGCCAGGTAAGTCCTGGCAAAACTTCACAGGCAGTAGGCTGAGTCTGGCATTCAGGCCATAGTAAGCTCATACCTGATCTAGTGTGTTCAAAGTTCAAGTCCAATCTGGACAACTTAGCAAGACATTGTTTCTGCCTCAAAATAAAATAAAATAAAAAGTGGGGGAGGCTGCGTATGTGTGTGTTCCTCTGGTTCATACCCTCAAAAGTACCCATTCCCATCAAAGAAACAAGAAAAGAACAGAGTAGCATGTTTAAAAATCAGCAAGCTTAATACATTAGCCCATAAAGACAACTTTCAGAGTTCTGACAAGTGGCATGATCTGACTTGTAATTTTAAAAAAACTTCTGTAATTTGAGATCATAAATGGGCAACAGTAAAAGCAAAGGAACCAGTTAGAGTTACTGAAGAAAACTAAACAAGAGAGCTGAAATGGTCTGCATCACAATCGTAGCAGAATTGAGGGTGAGACGCTAATTCTCAGAACAGCACTAATACAACTTCCTAGTAAATTGGACAGGAAGTGAGACAGAGGAAGGACTCAGTCTTTGTGATTTCTTTTTAAATTCTTTTTGACCTGAGAAATTAGTGCCTGTTAACTCAGATGAGAAGGCTGAAAGTAGAATAAATTTGGAAAGGAAATTAGATAGCTTCAGTTGAACACATTAAGTTCCATATATTTGCCCCAGAACCAAGTGGATACTGAAAAGATAACTGAATAGGCAGTTCCAAAATTTAAGTCACACACACACACACACATCACACGGAAATCATTATAATATAGATGGAAATTATCCATTAAAATTTTAAAAGTGCTTTATTTAGTACTCCTCTCCTAGATATTCATCTTGGAACGTAAGTAGTTTCACAAAGATGAACGCATCACCTTTGTTTACAATACACGAAAATAAGAAATCAAAATTATATTAAACACAAATAACTAAATAATTATAATACAACCAAACTAGAGAATACTTTGAAGTTATTAAAAGGAATGAGGCTTTTTATTTTTCTTTTTCCTTTTCTTTTTTTTTATTTATTTTTTTTTTTAGACAGGATCTCACTATGCAGTTCAGACTAGCCCTCAGTTTACTTTGTAGCCCAGGCTGGTCTCAAACTTACAAGAACCCTACCGCCTCTGCCTCCGAAAATGTTGGGATTACAAGCATATGCCACTATGCCAGGTTAAGGAATGAATTTTCTATCTGTTTGTACTAGATGGGGAAAAAAAGATTCAAAGCACACTATTAAATGAAAGAGCAACATGAGAAACAATAAACAACACTGTGAGCCTCCATTTTATGTTACAAATAAAACAAACAAAAAGGCCGATATATGAGATGAGAATGAGCCAGACATGCAGTGGGGAGGGGGATAATGGTGAAGGAGTTTTTCACTTTCTTATGCTAGTAAATACTTTTAAGCATTTACTATAACACAAAAAAGTTTGCTATTCATCAATTACTAATAGGCATTAAATAAACATAAATTTAAAATCACAGCAACACTGCCATACATGGCTGTACACACCTGTATTCCCAAAACTCAGGAGGCTGATGCAGGAGGATTACCAGCAGTTCAAGGCCAGCCTAGGTTGCATAGTGAGTTCAAGGCCAGTCTGAACTTAGACCCTGTCTCAAACAAATAAAATAAAAAAAAGCACCCTCCACCAAAAAAAACCACCAAAAAAAAAATCCAGGAATACAAATAAATTCCTCAAGAAAACTAAAGGAAAAAAAAAAAACTCAAACCATATATGGAAAGGCCATTTTTCTAAACATATCTTCAAAAATTCCTGTAAAGAATTTTGTCATGATGCATTTGAGTTTTACTTTAAATATTATCCAATGAATTTTAAACATTTACACATATTCATCCAACCATCTGACTTACTTCTTTCTGGAACCTTTCCAAAGTAAGCTTTCTCTGCATTTGGTCCTGCACCCAAGGATCAGCAGCATATTCAGATTCTAGAAGAGAAGTCCAGCAGTTTGCTGCATCTCTCTTTGTCTTAGTAAGAACAATGCGGACCATTTTTCTATCCTCTAATGAAAAAAAAAATAAGAAATTAGAGTTCATCACTACATTTTACATTTTTCAAAACCACCAGGTAATCCTGACAATTGTTTCAACACACTTTTTTTTATCTTCCAAAGTTACGAAGCAAAAGGACTTAATAGAAGAGACACTAGACTAAGTTCCAACACAAAATTAATTTTTAAACAGATTCTATGAATTAAACTAGAGTACGCTTACCCAAAGTCCATGTTCCTTCATCAGCTATTGTAGAATCAAAGAGTTTGCCCTGAAAAATAAACACATAAACTACAAAAAATTATGCATTTCAGTAGGTTTTATAAGATTTCACAGTGGAGACTTAGCTCATTACACATCTTAAACCACTGCACCACACTTAGAAGTACTCAACCTTGTTTCCTCATACTGAATGAAATGAACCTAAGCAGCAAGACTTGAAATACTGAGTGACAAAGACACTCGACAGACAAACCAGAGCACCTTAATTTTTAAAAGGTGAAGAAACACTACTGATCATTGTCCATATGGAATGCTTTATCAAATTAAAATGAATTACAAGACAGGATCCCCTGCTAAAACTAAGAAATGGGTCTTTTAATCCTAAAAAAAAAAGTCAATCTTTTTGTTGGGCAATTGGTATTTAGAAAAACAAAGCACACATTGTAGATATGTTAGGTTACCTGTGCCTGAATTTTCACTAACGCTAGTTTTAAGAAAAAAGTAAAATAAAAATTTAAGACAAGGTATAAAATTAAAGACATTTCAATTTGTTGCCAAATTTAACTATAGGAAACAAAATTAATAGGTCATTTAAAAAAAAAAAAATTTTTTTTTTTTTGCCTTGCCAGACTTGGGGGCACACAACCGTAACTCCAGCACTTGAGAGACTGAAGGAGGAGGATCAGCAGGAGTTCGAGCCTAGTTTGGATGACAGAGGGAGACCCCGTCTCAAAAAACCACATTTTAAAATATGTCAGTACAAGAAGAAAAAAATCCTAACAGTGTAATTCTAGTATGTGTGCTGCTGATGGTCTTCTGTGTATCTTAACCACCACCAAAATATTGCTAAATTCACGAGTATGCAGAATCTTCTACCATTTTTCAGGAAACTTGGATTGTACAGCTTTCAGAAAGGTCATTCAGATCTAAATGACACAAATCAATGCCTCTGACAAAATCATCTAAGAATAAAATAGCAGCTAAAACAGTGAGCTTTTAACATACCAGGCATCGTTCAATCACCTGGATACTACGTTGCTCTCAAAACATTCCAATGAGAACGGACTATTATTACCACACCTAGAATTCTGATTAAAAGGCTTCGGGACACAGAATAACCTAGGCTTGAGGCTGCAAAACTAAAAAAAATGGGCAGAACTGGGTATTCTATCAAGCAGTCTCTCCTCCATCACTACATTACAGAACCATAAGATAAACTAATCTGAGAATGAAATCTAATTTCAGATTATTAACTCTACTAGAGACTTCATAAGTAAAAGATGTGTCCAAGAGGTAAAGGACACTGTGAAAAGAAAGAAAATGGGTAAAAATTATTTTACTCACATACTTCTTCCCGCCCTCTGCTTGTCTGCTCCACAAACATGTCAGGGTACACGTAATTTTGGATGAGAGAAGTAAATCTCCTGACATACCTGAATTCTCATCCTATCCCTCGATCCCTTCTACACTTTCCTACACCTGCTTACACATAGTGAAGGTAAACGTCAATGCAGAGGATTCTGTACTCTTGGTATCTAGTTCAATGCCTCGAAGAAACCGTTATGTACTGTACATATTGTTCCCAATCAATTAAGCAGAGGGCCCCCCGAGACGAACCAGGAACGATAACCTAACTTGTTTTGGAAACAAAACAGGAAAATGAGATCTGGAAATTCCACACCTCAGGATTTGCCCTAAGCACAGTGCTCCCATCAGACCCAAACCAGGCTGAGTTTACTTTTCTCTTTCTGCTCCTCAGTGGAGGAGTCCTGCCCACGTTATTTCTGGGAAACAACGAGTTTCAAGACTCGGGGTTGGCGGAGGTCGAGAGGAGGGCGCTGAGTCCCGACCTGCCTCTAACCTTTAGGATCTCACGGCCACCCACGGCCAGCGCCACATGCCGGCTCTGCAGGCCGCACTGGATGTCCTGCGCTCGAGTGCCCGGCGGCACCTGAACTTCAATGAACACCTCCTCCAGGGTCTGGTACCACTGGCCCCACGGCGTCCCGCACGGAACCACTCCACTGCGCTCCTCAAACGGGGCAGACATACTGCAGCACCAGCCCACAGCAGCCGCAGCGAGCACGTCCGGCGCACACGCCGAAGCCCACGCTCAGGTCACGCCCGCCGGTTCTTCCGCCCCGGCGCAGCACATGCGCAGGAGCCCGGCCTGGGGTCTCCCAGGGTGTACGTTTTTCCCTTTCAGACGTCATTTAAAAAGACACTGGCACAACCAGTGAAAGAATTGAAATCCAGAAAGGGTGGCGTTCAGAGAACGGTAGGTGAGCGCTAGAACGAGTAACCAAGAACTCTACATATTTACCTAAATGACGTCAAATTACAGCGTCAACGTATAAAGTGCGCGTGCGCAAATGCTGCTAGTGCTTTGCTTACTTTTGAGTAACAGGAGATGTAATTGGGCGCAGAAATGGGGAAGAGGCGCAATCTTTGATTGGCTGGTAGCGCGAATTTAGGGGCCTTTTCACCTGATGCGCGGTGGAACACCGCCGCATCTCCCAGTACGCATGCTCCATGGGCACTGTGCAGGATTGGTCAGCCCCCAGAGTTTTTGGTTTTCCAATTGGCTAATGTGGGGTGGGCAGGGAATGTGCCCATAGATTTGAATTCAAATCGCAATTGCTGAGGAGTTCTAAGTGCTTTAGGTTTCTGGACGTGGCTCTCAACATGTCCTTTCCTAAGGCGCCTCTGAAAAGATTCAATGAGCCTTCCGGTGCGTACGGGGAAAGGGATCGGGAGTGGGAGGAGGACCCAAAGATTCCGCTCCCTTTTCGGGGTTCTCTTCGTGAGGGTCAGCTTGAGGCCTATTTTAGACCTGGAATCGGGCTGTTCCAATGATTTATTTTTCTTAAGGACATGTTACGTATCTAATGCAAGTTAAGCAGTATTCAGAAGCCGAGAATGCTACAGTGAGTGAAGCAGCCCCCGCATCACAACTATTCTTTCAAATAGGGAATCCAGTACTGTCAGGAACCCCCCCCCCCAAAAAAAAAAGTTTGAGTGCTGCTTTTCGGCTGAATCTGCAGATTCTTTTCAATAGTCGGGCACAAAAAGGACTAGGAAAAACAATACATGAATGTCAAATAGCAGTTGCACGTTTTAAAAACACTATAATTCAAGCAGTAGCATCTGTCAGCCACTTATAGCCTCCAGATAAGCTACTAAATCTTTACATTGATTTTGAGTTTCTTAAAAATCTCCAGACAGTCCTAAAGTAAGCCTGTTGTTTATTGTGAAAAATGATAAAATTTGGTTTGCTCTTGTACAGTTGATTGACTATACGTGACTATAATATGTATTCCAAAGCGCGAGTAGAAAAGATTTGGAATGTTTTCACCATAAAGACGTAGCTCGAGGAAATATCTTAACCCTGATTTAAACGTTACACGTACAGAACTTCACATGGTACTTCCTAATATGTACAATTTTTATTAACAGTAAATTTAATTTTTTTCAAAACGAAGGAAATAAATTATTGGGACTGAAATTTGTTCATTGTTACAAGACCAAACTGACAGTTTATTAACCCAGGCCTCCGTGAATCCATTTTGTGCTTTTAAACACTGCAATTCTCACCTGCAATAACCAAGGAACCATAGATGTGGTCGGTGGGCATTCAGCATTTAATGAATGCCAGCTGTGGCTGATTTGCTAAGGTCCTCCTGACTACTTTATTCTGCTAACAGCAGTATCAGGTCAGGTCAGAAACTACTCATTTGTGACTACTGAACCTCAAGTAAGTGGGAAAACTGAACCTCAAAACCCATGATTTATTCATTGGAATATACACTATTTACTGGTAACCAATTACATCTGCACTTTCTATCAGCCAACCTAGGAATATAAATGTGAATCTCCCTGCTCACAAAGGAATGTTAAGTGAGTAAAAAGCTTATTTCCTTCATTAAAGGACTCAAGGATCATATTATTTCCTAGATATTCAAAGTTCTGTCAGCAGTGTGATTTTGAGGAGTGTTGTTTTTTGGTGTTACAATAGACTACCAAATGGTACCATAGTTCATGCTCATAATTTTGAGAATAATAACATTTGTTTATTTGTGCTTAGTATGTGTGAAGCACTAGTGATTTGTCATTATTCTAGTAATCCTCAAAAGTACACTGTGACAGTGGTGCTATTTTTTATTCCTGTTCCACAACTGAAGGATCTGAATTTTAAATGGAAATTTCCAGGTGGTTTAAAATTTGACTGAGAAAACAAGGAATATGTAATGTTCTTATTCATCATGACCTCCTCTTATCTAGAAAGTATGTGGCAGTGTTTTCTACAGATTGTCAAACAGAGGTGAATTTGAACTCATAACTCGCTGATTACAAAACCCTGTTCCATTCCCATATCCCCAAAACACTTTCTGTATTTTCTTTTCCATGCTGCTAAACTCAGTGCTGAACTAAATATTACGAATAGAACTATGAAAAGAGCCTGGCTTTAAACAGTAGTTTCTAATATGAAAGATTTATAAGTAAATAAATGATTACAAAACTGGCAAGTTTATGACAGAAACAATATACAAAGCTCCTGGGGAGGGAATTTTCTAGCCTGATTTGGACAATTAGAAGTGACATCCAGCTGAGGGGCTGGGGAGATCTGGAGAATAAATGAAAGTGATCCGAGTAAAATGAAAGACGGGCTGTCAATACTAAATGGAAGAATAGAAAACAAGTCTGGAATTTTGAAGTTTGTTAACTATAACCCATATTATGTTTTCTTTGCATGCAAGTGTTGACTCTGTATTAGTTTTAGCTCATTGTTGATAGGAATATAAATTATTTCAGAAAGCTTATGCTGCCTCCTCAGATACTCCTTTTTGTCTAATCGCTCCAGATTTCTAACAAGTCACTCTATGATGTACATATAAATGTTGATAAGAAAAATTCCATAAACATGAAAATCTCACGTGCCACAGTCTTTTGTAGAGTTGGTAAATGTAGATGACTGAAGTTCAACTCATCTGAGAGCATCTTGAATCCAAATCCCTGTAACCATCAAAGTTGTCTCTTCAGTCTTTAGAAGAAATTTTAAGTATAGTCTTACATGTTCTCAGCTTCTAGGATGCTTTTAATCACTGACCATTGTCTCTTTATTTTCCTTGAAACTATGAACTCAGTAATGGGCTAGAATACGAGAATTCGGTGTTTCTGAATTGTATCTTTGTTTTTCTGGCAGTTTGCTAAGTCTAGTGCAGTGCTTTTCACCTTTCCACAGAAACTTCTCTGATAGGGAGCAAAGAATAATAAATAACCTCATTTCCACTTACGCAATAAAGGCCTGCCTACAAGTAGTGGTAGCAGTTTTCTTTAAAATACAGTGGCTTCCTTGTTACCCTGTATCCCAAGGAAATAAAATAAGTTCTGCAACATGTCCCACATGTACTGTAGGCTGATTTGAGGAACCCCTGTCACCTCATTCATCCCAGAGTATAAATAATTTACAAGATGTGGCAAATCCGAATCTGATACCAATAATATTTGCAAAGCTTGCCTTTACCTTACAGTAGTGAACTTTACCCTTCATTTTGATGCTTTCTTATTGGAAATGTACTGCCTCTACTCTGTCAACTGCATTTAGATTTGAAAAGCACTCAAAGACTGGAATCTTTGTGTCAGTACCTATGAATTATCATTGTTCCATGCAGAGGAGTGAAACTTACTTAAGATCAGTTTCTAGTTGGTGAAAGCAATGGCTTAAATACTTTTAAAGCTACATCCCAGAGTGACGTTTGAATATTACATGTCTATCTGTGATGTATTTTTTATATTTCTACACATGCAACTGAAACCCAAGTTGTTTAAAATGTTCTCTAAGGGTAGGGATTTAGCTCAGTGGCATAAGTGCTTGCCTGGCAAGTGTGAGGTCATGAGTTCGATCCCCAGTACAAAAAAAAAAATGTTCTCTAACCTTACTACATGTGAGTCACACTGGAACTATCCATTGTATTTCCCTTTATTTTAAATGCTAGTTAAGATCTAGTGAAAGCTGGACATGTCAGTACATGTCCCTACTCCTATCTCTGGGAGGCTTAGCAAGAGGGTCAAAAATTGAGTACAGCCTTGACAGCTTAGTGATTTACCCAGACTTGGTCTCAAAATAAAAATTATTTTTTAAAGAAGGCTAGGGATATAGCTGAGTGTGAGGCCCCTGGGTTCAACCCTCAGATAGATATATATGTATGTGTGTGTAGGTCAAGTCTGCTATGTGTAAACATTTAAATGCTTTCAAATTTGAGGTTCCAGTTAGGTAACACACACAAACTTTTGAAATTTAGAAATAAAATCTGATGTAGTTTGTACTTTGCATGATATGGCTTTGTAACTTTCCTGAACCTCAAGCTCTTTATTAAATAGGGGGGTGTGTGTGTGTATGTGGGTGAAGATTAAATAAAATATCCATACAATGTATGGATATTGTTTTTCTTCTTTGCATTCAGATTGCAGTTGGCTTCATCAGTAGGTACACTAATGGTAGCCAGAGATGGATTGTCACTGTAAAAGGCTAGACTGTTGCCTCAGTGACTTTTGTTAAGTAGAATTGATAGCAATATTTATACCTTATATTCAGTCCCATGTTACTGTATTATACATAACTTTCTCCCTCAAACTGTTTTTACGGTTTTGCTCAGTTGCCTATGTTCCTTTGACAAGGCTGATACAAATGGCAAGACAAGAATTTGGTTCTTCATAAAGATATTTTCTTTATATTGTCAAATGGATGCTGTTTTTATAGCTTGAAGAAACAAGCAGATCATTAATGGCATCTTTGCATTTATGTTTGCTTTATCATGGTGTACATTTAAAGTTCTAATTGACACTGGAGGATATATGAAGTTTTATGTTTTCTCTAGGTTGTGCTCCATCTCCAGGTGCTTATGATGTTAGCACATCAGAGGTATCTAAAGGACCAGTATCCTTTCAGAAATCACAAAGGATTAAAAAACAAAAAGGTAATGGATCTCATAATAAAACAATGGCTATGTGATCTTGTAACTTTTAGGGTTATAAATAACAGTACTTAAATTTTATAATAGCATTTCTAAAGATGTAAAGTTAGAAGTGTATGTAAACTTTCTTTGATGGATTTATGAATCAGTTACGGAATAATGCTTTCATCATTATACCTAGTATAACCAAGAAAATTAAGCAAAACACTGTCATAAGTATGTAGTGTCCCTTTTGGTAATTACCTTAACTTTTGTCAGGGACTACTGAGAAAATCAGAAAAATATTAAATATATTAAAATATTGTGCAATTATTTGTAAATGTACAATCAAGAAAATAACTTCGTTTCATTAATAGCTGAAATAAGAAATTTAGAGATTGTGTTTCGTGTGTGATTAAAACAATCAGTCATCATTGGTGCAACTTATTTTCCTGCAGAATCTCAGCAAAGTCTTAATGTTGACAAAGATACTACCTTGCCTGTTTCAGCTAAGAAAGCTAAGGCTTTGGAGTTAAAGGTGAGGAGGTTTTACCTGTCAGCTAATTTATCAGCTATATCATTGAAAACAGCTCTGTATTCTATTAGAATGGGTTAAATATATAAAGCAAATGTATAAGTAAATCTGTAAATGAATGGGAGGAAGTATTGTTAGGCTGATAGCAAGTTTTACATTCTACCTAGATCATTACTACATTTATTGTGTTTAAGTGTGCCCTTGGTTCACAATTATACAATGGTTTCCACTTCTTAGTCTCAATAAATTTTGCATTACCTGGTAGGCCTTTGCAGATTACATGATGCTTTGATTTGCCACCATCTGACTTATTTTATTTTTATTTTGTTTATGGGGAAGGCTAAGTACTGGTGAAGAAAAAGGAAAAAGAAAAAAATTAATGCTTAAAATAAAGTTGCTATGCAGAAATGGTTAAGGAGTCATAGAAAGTTAATAGTGTGAGGTTATAGCCAACTCTTACTAATGTTTTCATTAGCTCATAAGCAGGAAATTACTTTTTTTTTCTTTTCTTTTTTGTCTTTTCGAGATAGGGTCTTGCTATGCAGTTCAGGCTGCCCTTGAGCCCAGGCTGGCCTTGAATTTGCAGTGATCCTCCTGCTTCAGCCTCCTGAGTGCTGGGAGTACAGGCATGCACCAACACAGTCGGTTTGGAAACTACTTTCTTAAGGAGTTGCACAAATTGATATTTTCATGTGACAAAGACCAAGTTGAGAATCCAAGGCTACAAGTTCAGCTCTGATTGTTCATTCTCATGACAATTACCTAAATGCTTAATAGAGAGCTGTGTTGTCCAGGATAGAAATGAGTAGCCACAAGTGACACTGAACATATGAAATGTGGCTAGTGCTACTGATGACTAAATGTTTAGTATTATTTTTTTTTTATTAATACAAACTTTAAAGCATAATTCTGTCAGTGGCAAACTTTTAAATATTTTTTAGGACATTGTATGTGTTTTTTAGACTTGTATGTGTAAATCTCTTCTGTATGCTTTATGTATATAAATATGGCTGGATATTTCAGATGAAAAATTTTCTTCTGAATTAAGATGTGTTATAACTATTAAATTCAGTGTGTGAAAATTTTGTGTAAATATAAAACATTATAATTTTATACCAATGGCATGTCGAAATACTGTTTTAAGTAAAAATAAAAATATAAAACATTTTCTTTTTTAAATATGGCTATTAGAACATTCCATGGCTGGCGCTGAATTATTATTGGAGAGGACTGAAATAGCCATGCTTAGAAAAGGAGAGAAATGGGTTACTTTGAATTTCCTGGGGAAAAAATTCTGGAATTTGGGTTAATTATAGAATTCATAAACTCCCACAGTAAACTCAGTTACATACAAATATGTATACAGTCCCCAAATAATATACTTTCCCTAACGAAAAATGCCATCAGTTTTAATAATAAACATAAGACCAGTATTTCTTGTCCTCAGCTTAGAAACATGTAAAACAGATTTCATTCAGGATGTTTATGCATTTTATTCCACATTTAGATGGTAAAGATTGATATTCTGCTTCTGGCCTTTATGTCTGTCAGAAAAGCTGTTAGATATAAAAAGATACAATGTGAAAATTGTGTCTTAGAATAAAGGCAATAAGAAAATTCCAATCGAAGTTTGTACTGTTTCAGCTTTTATTTCTTTGGAATTTGTATATTTTTCTCTTTGAGTATTAAAATTTGTTTGTTTCTCTTTTAAAAGTTATGCTTTTAGAGATGGCAGAATTAAATATTCAAAATATGTAAATATTCTATGTAACATTAGAAAGGAAGTAGAAGCTTTATACACAAACCTTTCTTCTTTTCTCTAGGGTTTTCGGGAAAGCTACTGATTATTGGGTTGAAACCTTTTAAAATTGTAATGTTTGCGGTTTTAAGAACCTTTTCCTGCCGGGCATGGTGGTGCATGCCTATAAAACAGCACTCAGGAGGCTGAGACAGGAGGATCGCTTCAAGTTCCAAGCCAGTCTGGGATACATAAGCAAGTTCAGGGCAGCCTGCCCTACATAGTGAGATCCTGACTCAAAAAAAAAAAAAAAAATTACTTTATTCATCAGATAGTTGACCTACAGAATATTTCATAGACTTAGTACAATGTTTAAAACCAAAGTTAAGTCTTTGAAACATGTTAGTCTTTTCAGTTACCTTTAAAACTTGACTGTGATATTTTTGGCACTCAAGTTTGTTTATATTTGCTCTTTAAACAGAAGGAGTCTCAGAAGAATGGTAAAGATTTGAAGAGATTAGAAAAAGAAGTAAGTGGTATTCAATTTACTGAAATACAAATGTGCTGAATAATGGGAAAAGAGTTATGGAGAGCTGAAAAACTAAAATTCAGTTGCAGTTTGAGTAATCCTACAGTGAAGTAAATATGCCCTCCGTACAGAGCCTTCAGAAGAGTGCTTCTATGTCCTAGTCTCTATTTTACAGCCATCCCCGCTGTCAGTGTGGTACACAGGTAAAGTCAAGATTGTTTGCATGCCAAGATCAGATTGAGGATAACCCATTTTGTGAAAAACTGATAAATAAAAATCTGTACATCCAGTTATTAAAACTGTATACTTAGAGCAAATATTTACTTTTACTCAGAGCAAACACTCCTTATAAAGACAGTGAATCTGGAGAATATGCTTGTTGAGCAAGTAATCTTGGCAGGTTGGTAAGTTATGCTAACCAAATCTATTGTTTTGCCTATGGGCATATACCTTCTTGGTGGATGGAATAACCTAGAGCTATGCATCCAGTATGTTTGCTACTCAACACATGTGCCTACTCTTGAATAATATTAAAGAAAATTAAGAACTCAGTTTCTTAGTTGCATTAATCCCATTTTAACTGCGCAGTAGCCACATGTGGTAATCAGCTACTATACTGAACAGTACATTTCTGCCATGAAAAATTTCTGTTGAGAAGTTGACCGAAACAACACTGAGCTTTCCACTGCCCACTTTGAGTCTCTGACAGTATTATCCACCCTTCCATTACTGACAGTATTAGTCAGCTTTCTTGTGTGCAAGACACAATACCCAACACCCATAACTTAAAGGAGGAAAGGTTTAATTTACTCATATTTCTATCTGTAAGTGGTTGGCTTCAAGGCAGGAACACCATAGCTGAAAGCTGTTCAGTTCATGGTTGCCAGGAAGCAGAGCAAGGGAAGAGTGCCATAGCAGATGAGAGAGTGACCAGAGAGTGACCACCCCTCCACGACTCACCCAGCCAGACCCCACAGTGTGCTCCACTAGTTCCTGGGGCAGAATTGAAATCTCCCTAAGGACCACACTGACCCGCGCTTCTTGTGATGAACATTTTTCTTTTGATGATGTAGTATAACATCACATTTGATTACAGGCAATTGTGGGCTTGTGACCAAGAATAAGAATATTCATGAGGAAAAGTCAAAATAATACGGTTTTTCTAGAATCCGTAATGCTTTTATTACCAGTGATATCTATTTTTGCACTATATCCACGAACCATGGAATGTTTTCTTGCAGATTCGAGTCCTCGTGCAGGAACGTGGTGTTCAGGATAAACGAATCCAGAATATGGAAGTGGAGTTGGAGAAGATGGAAGCAAAGTTAAATGCTGCAGTCAGGGAAAAAACATCCCTCTCTGCAAATAATGCTTCCCTGGAAAAACAGCTTATTGAATTATCCAGGACTAATGAACTACTAAAATCTAAGGTATCTGAACCTCAGGATAATACCTAAAATTGAGTAAAGGCCTTTTGTTTTTTTTTCTCTCTGCAGTTGTTTGTATAGTGTTGGCTCCACTTTAGCCCTTTCTTTCACTACATGTACTTTTAAGTATTAATCTGCTTCAAATACTAATTAGTATTTTTTTCATAGGGTTACTGGCACATAAGAGGTTATAAGCAAATAGGTTACTTTTTGTTTTAATTTCTGACATTGTCTCGCCCCTCAAAATTATTCCCAGTAAATATAATCATCAAAAAAAATCACTGAATTTACATTTTAAATTCACTTTAAAGATCTTTCACTGAAATACATAATAACATCACAGCAGGAACGTCACATCAGGCTTCTACCTCAAATTTTTTTTTTTTTTAATGAAGCAGGAAATAAATCAATGGAGTAACTTTGTATGATAAATAGCATTTATTAATATACATTTATCAATGTACTAATAGATCAAGGGCTTAATGTGATCCTCTTTTGCCTGTTATAGGAGTAGAGGAAGGATGTAAATCACCCTACATTTTATAAGAGCATTTATTTAGGGCCTATGGTGTATGTAGTTTTTGCTTAGAAAAACAGTAAAAATGCATTAGATCAAATAGGGGAAAAAGAGCACATTCCTGAGTCCCACCCAGGGAAATTCTGATTTAATAGGCTTGGAGAGACTCTGGTCCACATAATTCATATATACTAGGTGATTAAGGTTAATTATTTTTATATATTTCTTTTTTTAGTTTAAAGATAGTAAAATCCAGTGGGGGGAAAAAAACAGAACAAAGCCAATCAAAACAAAACAGCAAAATTGGTATAGAATTTAAAAGCAGGATACTAGGAAAACAACAATAGCTAATGTAGTACATCTTGTTGTCTTCATAATAGTTGTCCATTCTATCAGGTATAGCAAAATCAAACCAAGAACAATACAGAATAAAACCAATTGAAACAGAATATTGAATAAAGCGAAACAGTCAGAATAAAGCAAAACAGTGCGAACAATATTGGATTTCAAAGGCAGAATAGAAGGAAATCCCCCATGTTTGTTACATTGCATATGGTCATCCTCTCAAGAGATGCTTGGACCACTGGCTCCAAGCCTGCATAATCAACCAAACAATAATTAAAGCATTTAGTTGCTTTATGTACCTTAGTTGCTATCAATTCAGCTTGTCCTCAGAACCCTAAGGTCACCTACGGGTGAAGGTGGGCTTTGATTGTCAGCCCACACAATGGGAGGTGCTATCTGACTTTTCTCTTCCTGGAGCCCACGCAGCTTGCCCGGCTTACCAGAAACTTTGGCTAGCTGGCTTCTTGTTGGCTGATTCTCAGGAGGGGCTGACTTTGCTCTCCCAAGATTAATTTTTGTTAACTACCAAATACATTCAATAAGTCCTATCAAACAGGCTCATTGTAATGGACTTTCTAATATATAAAGGTAAGTGGCCACACAACTGTTTCAGAAATAAACCAGAAGGTCACATTAAGGAGGAGAAAGGACAAAAGCAGTACCATTACCCAGTTAGGAATTGTTCATCAAAAGCTGTTTTCTCTGCCAGAGCATACTTTAGGCAATAAATAGTCACAATGACAAGCAATTAATCAACATTTAAGTAATTTTATGTTTGACTTAGCAAAAAAAAAAAAAATTCTAAATCTTTTTGTGTTTGTTGTACTTAGTTTTCTGAAGATGGTAACCAGAAGAATATGAGGCTTCTAAGCCTGGAGTTGATGAAACTTAGAAACCAAAGAGAAACCAAGATGAAGGTGAATACAGCTTTTGCTGAGTACACGTGTCTGGACCTGGGGATACAAACAGTGTCCCATGTCCTAAAATGGCCCCTCTCCTCTGCAGAGCATGATGGCTAAACAGGAAAGCATGCAGATGAAGCTGCAGGTCACGCAGAGGAATTTCCAGGAGTCTCAGGGGAAGATAGCAGAACTGGAGGGGAAACTGTAAGTGACCAAAAAGAAGGAGAAATTAAGTGTAACTGAATTTTCTTTTTTCCTTCATTTACCTCCTACCTAAAAATATAAAATGTATACACATTCTTGAAGTGCCATGAAAATTTTTTAGTACATGTATCCACTGTATAATGTTTTAAGTCAGGTTAAACATACACATTTCTTCAAACATTTATCAATTCTTTATGAAGAAAACCTTCAGAATTCTTCTAACTTTTTAAGTAATGCAATACATAATTGTTATCCATAGTCAACTTAGTGCCCCATCGTGCAACAGAATTTCTTACTCCTAATTGTAACAGTACTAATTGACCAATGTTTGCCCATCTGCCTCACCTGTACTCTTCCCAACCTCTGGTAACCACCATTCCATGCTCACTCTAAGAAATTAATTTTTTTAATTCCAGTGTGAGTGAAATCATGCAGTATTTGTATTTCTGTACATGGCTCATTTCATTAAGCATAATGATCACCACTTTTATCCACCTTGTAAATGACAGAAATTTTATTCTTTCCTATGGTTAAATCACATTCTATTGTGTGTATATATATATATATATACACACCATTTTTTAAAATCCATCAGTTGCTAGTGGTGGTGGTGCACACCTCTAATCCCAGGACTCTGGAGGCTGAGACAGGAGGATTGGCATGAATTCAAGGCCAATCTGGGCTACATAGTGAGACTTTGTCTCAAAAAATAAATAAAGAAAATAAAACCTATTAGTTGATAAGCACTTAGGTTGTGTCTGTTTCTTGATTTTTGTGAATAGTGCTGCAGTGCACGAGAGATGGCAGATACCTCTCCAGAACACTGATTTTATTTTGGGGGGTATATAGAATAATGAGATTATTGGATCATATGGTAGTTTCTTCTTTCTTTTTTCTTCTTGGGGGTGATGGCTCACATCTGTAATCCTAAAACTGGAGAATGAGATAGCAGTTCCAGGCCAGTTTAGGCAAGATAGTAAGTTCAAGGGCAGCCTAAACTGTACATCAAGACCCTGTCTCTAAAAAACCAAATCAGAGAGGGAAACCTTTGTACTCTTCAAAATGACTACTGATTTATATACCTACCACAAGGGTAATGAGAGAACCCTTTGTTTAATCTTTACCAATACTTATTGTTTTTAGTCCTTTTGATAATGTCCACTGATTCCACTGAGAGTGGGTTGAGGTAATATTTCATTTTGGCTTTGATTTGCATTTCTGATAGTGGTGTTGATCACACTGACTTTGTATCCACTGACTCATTTTTAGTCAGGCTTTTTTAGAATTTGGGGAGTTCCTTATGAATACTGGATATCAAAAGCTTACCAGACAGTTTATGAACAACATCAGAAACCAGCCACTCAGGAGGAAGGCAAGTGTGAGGCTAGCATGGCCAAGACCCTGCTTCTAATAAAAAATAAAAGGATTTGTGCACATGGCTCATGCTAGAGCATTCCTGGCTTCAAGCTCTAGTTCCATGCATATCAAAAAAAACCACCTGTCATCTGTATTATTTGAGAATGTTTTCTCTTTTTGTATACGTTGTTCTTCACCTTTGCCGTTTGTAACTTGATATAAACCCATTAGTCCGTTTACTTCCATTTCTCATGCTTTTAGAATAGTACCCAAAAAAATCTTTCCTATTCTAGGTTGCTGAAGTATTTTTCCTGTTTTTTTTTTCTTTTAATAATATCATTGTCTCTGATCTTATCTTCAAGTCTCAATTTATTTTGAATTGATTTTGATAGGTGATAAAAGATAGGGATCTGTTTTCATTCTTTTGCATGGAGCACCCAATTTTGAAGCACAATTGGGAAAGCTGTTATTTCTACAATGCTTGTTCTCAGAATTTTGTGACAAAAATCAGTTGTCTATAGATTGCATGGATTTACTTCTAGGCTCTCCACTGTGTTCCATTGGTCTGCCTGTTTTTGCACTAGTACCACGCCCTTCTAAATGTTACAACTTTGTAGTATATTTCAAAATTGGTTAGTATAATGCCTTCTGTTTTGGTCTTTCTGCTCAAGATTACTTTCATGGGCTAGGGATATAGCTCAGCAGCACAAGTGCTTATTTGGGAAGTGTGAGGTCATTAGTTCTATCCCTAGTGCCAAAAAAAAAGATAAAAAATTACTGTAACCATAGAAGATTTTATGTGGGGGTTCCAAACACATTTTAGGAATATTTTATCTAGTTTGGGGAAGATCGTCAAATCTTTATTTCTCTTTGAATAGTACATACATTTGACAGTATTTTTCCAATCCATGAATATAAGATATCTTTCCAATTTTTATGTCCTGTTCATCAATGTTTTATAATTTTTACCTAAGACATATTTTATCTCTTTTAATAAACTTATTCCTAGGTTTTTATTATGTAGCTACTATAAATGAGGTTGCTTTCTTGACTTCTTTCGTGTAGTTCACTATTGAAAGATAGCAGTGTTAATATATATTGATTTTCTATTTTTTATTTTTGCTAAGTTCATTAATTACTTTTAATAGTTTTTTTTGATGAAGCATGCTTTGATGAAGCATGCTTTTCTCTGTATGAGTTCATGTCATCTACAGACACTGACAATTTGATTTCCTGTTTTAGAATGGTTTAAATGCTCTTTATTTCTTTGTAATGCCTGATTATTCTGGCTAAAATTTGCACCATTTCAGTGAATTAAAAAAAAATGGTGCAAGTGTGCATCCCTGTTGTGTTCCAGATCTCAGAAAACTTTTTAGCTTTTCACCATTTAGAAAAATATTAACTATTGGCTTATTATATGAAGCACGATCAAAAACCACAGTGAATATTCATATCATGCAAATGCTGCTGAGAGAAGACACCTTCATAAAACATCACGGGTGTCCTCATGTACTTTATTCACAAGGTTTGGCACCACACAACTTTTGATGTTTATCCAAAGTCAAAATGACCATGACAGGTAAATGTTTGAGTTGATGCAGGGCATCGAGGCGGCATTGATGGTGCCTCTAGAGACATGAGAGAAGATTTCCAGAAGTGGCAGGAATGGTGTACATCCAGAACCAGGAGGAGTATTTTGGAGGGGATTAATAGTTCCATATCTTTTACTGTAATAAACATGCATGGTATTTTTGTTATTATACCTTTTAAATGTTTTTTATTAGGCTGAGCAGTCTTGGTACTGTACTTAATTTGTTCAGCATTTTTATCATGAAGGAGTGTTGAATTTTATCAGGTGCCTTTTATGTATCTATTGAAATGATCCTATGGTTTTTGTCTTTCATTTTGTGGATGTGATGTATTGCCACTAGCTAGTGTGGGTCCTTGCCCTTGTGATAATACAAATTAAAATTAGAGCATGAATTTGTGAGAGAAAGCTCTCATTGGGAAGTGAGAGAATTAACAAAGGAGAATAAGAAAAAATAAGAGAGGACCCCAGTTTGAGTAGCTCGAGGCGGCACTCTGATGAAGGGGATCAGACTGTCCTCTTCACAAAAGAATTGAGACCTGTTTTGTGGGGCGCTGAAGTAGTCTGGGGTCTCTGTAATTTCTCAATCCTTGTTTCATAACTCCCGAAGAATTGTTTTTGCTTCTGTTAGCTTCAGGCATAGGAGGTTTGAGAGAATTCATTTTTCTTCAGTTTGCAGAAATAATTTAAGAATTAGTATCAAGGGCTGGGGATATAACTCAGCAGCACAGCACCTGCTTGGTAAGCACAAAGTCCTGAGTACAAAAAGAATTAGCATCGGTCTTCTTCAAATGTCTCATAGAATTAAGCATTGTCTTTGTATATATATGTTTTTACTTGTGTTGGGTAAATGTCTGATAATAGACATAGGGCAACGCATGTATAGCATTTTTTAAAACTCAAAAGTTGAACCATTTTTCTGTTTCAGCTGGCAAAGTATGACAGTCTGTGTCTCCACTTCCTTATCCTCGTTTGCTGTTGTCAGCTTGTTTTGGCCTTGTTAATGGGTGTGTAATGTGTTTGTTTACTGACCATTTGTATATCTTCTACTATGAATTATCTACTTAAGTCTCTTGTTTATTTCTTAAATTAGGTTATTTGAAAGAGGTAAACACTTAAGTAATTCCATCTCAGCTGTGGCACACAAAATGGTATTTGGGTGGGTGAAGCAACCAGGAAAACTTATTTCTAACATTTGGCCTGTTGTAGATGCTAGTTGTCATCATAGCTTTTTCTTTCTCTCCAAGTATGTTTGGGAAGCTTTTTCACTTAAATAAAATCATTAGTTTCCTATTTGCATATAAGTTATAATCTGAGAAGTAGGATGACATGACAAAGCATTTGAACTCTGGAGTCAGCCTGCCTAACACACACTTTCTGGTACACTCACTGTAAGCATTATGTATGATTGTTTAGTAAATAAACTGGTACATGTTAACTTATATTTTTTTATTATTTCTTTTAGTGTTTCAATAGAGAAAGAAAAAATTGATGAAAAGTCTGAAACAGAAAAACTCTTAGAATACATTGAAGAAATTAGGTAATATGAATTGTGGCCTTAAATGAGCCTTATTTTGTTCAGCTCTAATGAATATATCATTTTCATCACTTTGCTCTTAATTTTCCCTGTACCTAAAGAACTGTGCTCCTCAAATACTGTTTTAATGCAGTTGTGCATCAGATCAAGTGGAAAAATATAAGCTAGATATTGCCCACTTAGAAGAAAATTTGAAAGAGAAGAATCAAGAAATTTTAAGCCTTAAACAATCTCTTGAGGAAAATATTTTTATGTTATCTAAACAAGTAGAAGAACTGAATGCTAAGTGTCAGCTGCTTGGAACAGAAAAAGGTATTAAGGTGCTTGTAATTACTTTCTTTACATAAATGCTGCATGTTATATTTAAGAAAAGTTCTGCTATATTAAAACAACTTTTTCATAGTTACATAAATAACTAAAAAGCTTATTCTGTATCTGAGAAATTTTAATTTTTATAACATACTTCTCTTTAAATTTTTATTTACGTGTGGGGGTGGGGGGTGCTGGAAATCGATCCAGGACCTCTTGCGTGGTAGGCAAGTGTCCTATCATCATGCTGTTTCCCAGCCGAATGTACTGCTTTTCTTGATTGAAAGTAAACAATTGATAGTTTATGACTTTCCCACCGAATAGTCACTTATGACTTTTAAATGAATGGAATTAGCTTTGAGAGTTTTCTTATAATCATGTAATGTGTGTTATATTTGGCAGTGATACAAACTTCCATTTTTTTCCCTTTAGAAACAATCTATATAACATGCTAAAAGCAGTACTAATGAAATATTATGGGAATCTGGGTTTTTTAAATTAGCATTAGTGTCATTACCATATTTTTAACATTTTCCTTTTATAGAAGACCTTGTCAACAGGAATAGAGAAAGAGATGAATATCTCAATGCCGAGGTGCAAAACTTAAAAGAAGAGCTTATTCTTGAAAGAAAAGAACACGAAAGGCTACAACAAAAAGAATTGCAAACTGAGTTACTTCTCCATCAAGAGAAGGTAGTTCATTACTGTGTAAAAAGAAAAAAAAAAAGTATGCTAAAGATTTAACCAGACATCTTTGCAATAAGTTTACCATGGGATTAGCAATGTGGAAACAGTTGTGCCAGATGTGGTGCACACCTGTGTGGGCTTGGATACACTGGGAGACTGAGACAGGGAGGACTAACAGTTCAAGCCCAGGCTGGGATACAAGTCAGTACAAAGGCCCTGAGTTCAATCTTCAATAGCATACCAAAAAGGAAGAGAGAGAGAGAGACAAGAGAAAAATTAAAACAGCAGCTGCAGCAAATTTCTTGTCACATAGATAAGAGCTAAATAGATACTTATAGTTGTTTTACAAAAGAATGTCTTAAGTAAAAGAAAAACAAGACAGTTTTAAAATGCCGACTATATAAAGAACATTTTAGGTATCAGTGAGGATAAACAGCCCACTAAGTAGTATGGCCATGGGATGGAGGGAGATGATGCATAGAAGAAAAGAGTTTGTAAGCATGGAATAGTGCTCTACTGAGCAGGAGTCAAAGAAATAGACACATTTGTTGTTTATTTACCAAACTGGCAAAAGTTAAAACATTTGGTGATGTGAAACATTGTTTAGATTTATAAGTAAGTATATATGGACCAAGGCCAGAAGGCATCCATAGTTCAAACTAATGGTTATTTCTGCAAAGGAGAACTTGAGATTAGGGTGAGCAATAAAGATAATATTTACTTAATTTGAGTGTTAAAAATGTTTCAGAATTATGATGTGTTTATATAATTTATATAACTTTAAGCTTTATGTAGCAGATAACTTTAAATTTTTTACGTAATATTGAAGTTATAGTAAACTTTTATATCATGAGATATAAACTGTGTATACAAAGCAATTATAAAACAGACATTAATATAAATTTAAGGGTTTTTTTCCTGGTCTTGGGGATTAAATTAAGGGTCTTCTCACAGGGCCGTAGCCTCCACCCTTTTATTTATTTATTTTTATTTTGGGGCAAAATTTCTCCAAAGTGCACAAATTAGTCTCTGGCTGGCAATCCTGCCTCAGCCTTCCAAATTTTAGGTCTAAAAGCAGTTTGAGGGTGTGTACTGCTTAGAAAAAAGCCTAAAAGGGTATTTGCCACAAAGTTAAGATGTAAACCATAATGAGAGAATGAGTGTATGTTTTGTAATGTTTCTTTGAAACTCATGAATGTAGTCTTTGAGACTTCACTGTCTATGCTTCTGTTTTTTTATTCTTTTAGTAAGACCTCACAATGCCATTTCCAATTATTTTTGTGGTTATCTGTTTGGATGTAGGAATTATCTTCTAGTCTTCAGCAGAAGCTGTGTTCTTTTCAAGAGGAAATGATTAAAGAAAGGAATCTCTGTGCAGAGGAACTAAAACTGGCACTGAAAGAACTAAATACAGTACAGCAAAAGGAGGAGCAGTCCGAAAACCTTGTCAAGCAGTTGGAAGAGGAAACAAAAACTACCTCTGAAGCGCTCAAACTCCTAGAACGACAGCTGAAAGAGTTCGTATTAGTAGGACCCAATACTTATATAGGATACAGATGTTCAAAAGTATTTTCTGGTGTATTTTCTTAGAGTTTCCACATCAATCATAAGGCCACAGGATTAATTGAAGGAGTTTTAAAAACAAATGGCCAAAATGTTATGACTGTTTTATTCTTTGATTCTCTTTTACTACGCTTATATTTTCTAAAAATTATTGGAATCAGCAGTATAATAGTAAATTTCAGAAAAGACTGAAAACTCCACCCTTTAATAAAACAAGATGTATAATCTCAATTATACCTTTAATACTTTTTTGAAGAAGCATAAACACTTCAGAACTAGCCATCAAGCTGCTCATGGTGGCGCACACCTATAATCCCAGCAGTCCTGTAATCTAAGAACAGTCTTGTAATCCCGCACCCCTGAAATCCCAGTGCTCAGGAGGCTGAGGTGCAGGATTGCTGTGAATGGGAGGCCAGCCTCTATTACACATAAAGACTGTCTAAAAAAAAAAAAAACACAAGGAAAAACAGAAGAGGAAAAAAGGAAATACCAATCAAAAAGCAAATGAGAAAAAAAACAACTGACAAACATTCAAAAAATCAGAAATTTGGGCCAGGAATGTAGCTTAGCAGCACAGTGCCTGCCTGGCAAGCATGAGTTCCCTGGGTTCAGTTTCTGGTACCAAAGACAAATTATTGTTCAAAGTAGAAAACAGATCTCATCTTGTTTTTTTTACTCCATTTTCATATTCCTTAACATTATACATCCTACTGCACTACACATATTTAAGTAAGTGTACTTTGGTTCTTAAAAAAAATAGCCCCCTCCCTTTTGTTTGTTTGTTAAATTTAATTTTTAAATTTGAGACAGTGTCTCATAAGGCTGGTAAATTGCTTGAGTGTGGCTGGAATTTGGGATTGTCCTGCCTCAGCTTCCGAGAGTTCTGGGAGTACAAGTGTGTAATGCCATGCCCATTTTTCTTCCAAATTTTAAAACAACTTACATAACTGTGTACAATATAAAAGTAAATTTAGTACTAAGTAAACTTTTATGAAAACAAAAGGACAATAAGCAGAACAATAAAGCTAACAGATAATTATTGCATTAAAAAGTAAACATGCTCTCTGAGAGTTAGGTTATAATTTGGTTCTAAATGATGCAGCAATCAATGCAGAGATGAACAAGTCTATCTTTGGTCTTCTTAGTGGAATAATTTGTTGTTTAGCTTCTAATTTGGGGGCTCTTGTTTTCTTTTTAAGGAAAGAAGCTGAGCTGGAGAAGAGTCATACTGCCCACATTCAAGCTACCCTGATTTTGCAAGAAAAGTGTGATAGTGCAATGCAAAACCTTGGAGATGTTACTGCTGAATTTGAAAGGTATTTATCTCAGACGCATCCACCATCAAATCTAATGTGAAGGCAGAAAAGTACTTTTCCTATAGAAATGTGCGAGCTCGGCAGCTACCCAGAGGACTGCTGGGATTGGTTCACATCCGTGATGACCAGCTGTAAATGGGCGCTTAGTGGAACCCGGTAATCTTACCGTACTTCGGTAGCCATTTCCGTTTCCTGCCCCCAATCCAAACTGTACACATTCACAGACTTTTGACAGTTCTTTTCCTGATATCATCATTTTGATTAAAGAATTGAAAGGCTTTTATCTCATTACCAAACTTATAAACCCCCACATTTATATTTTTTCTACCAATTAGTTTCTTTTGTCTTTTAATTTTCAGTGAATTCTTTCTGTCATTTATTCCTTATCTTTTTGGTTTTCCAGTTTTCTAATTGACTTTCTCCAGGTAGTATGAGAGCATGTTTCTATGTACTCATTTGTAAAATGTATAAATAAAACAAATCTTTTTCCTTCACTACATTTCTCCCTTTTTAAATTTACTTCAAATCATTAAAGGACGAAGGTTCTTAGTATATTCAGTAAATACAAAAGTATGTATAATTCTGTACAAAAATTAAAAGCATAAATATAAAACATGAACTTACAGAAGACGTTTAGTCAGAAAGTTCAGCAATTTGATAACTGTGTCTGAGTTCTAGCTCAAAACTATCCTTGAACAGGCAGCACTATTTTGAAGCCTTCCTTTATTGTTTCCTCACATTTTTCCTATGTAAATACCACATTATTTAATTTTGCTTCTTTCTATCACCAGAGAATGTCATCATACCATTTCTTGGGTCTTGCCTTTTCATTCTCGTATGATATTTTTTGTAGGATTGAATTATGTCATTGCCCAAGGCTATTGTTTGCTTGTGGTTACTACTATGACTTACTTCCTTGTATGAATATACAGAAATTTTAAAATTTTATTTAAAGAGAAAACAAAACAAAAAGGGTAGAAATAATACATAATTTAAAAAAAAAACAGTAAGAAATCACTAGTTGATAAATTACATATTGTCCTCTTAGAAATAGTTGTTCAAGTTACAAAAGTAAAGCATACAAAGTGGACATTCGAACCGTGAGACTGCAAATAGTTCTGTTCAACGATCTTATAAAAACTTAGTTATATGGTTATCAATCCTACACACTTAAACATACATGCAGTTACATCTTTTAGAGCACTTGCTTTTCTTCTTTTCTACAATAGCAATTACACATTTTGAGTGTTATTACTCCTACAGTTCTTATTACTTTTTACACTAGAGAAACAATGTGATATTTATAAATATGATTATTAATTTATTTCACTTATAAGGATAGTCTCAAGTTGTCTCTATTTGACTAGAAGGCCTCAAGATCATCCTTTTTTATAGCTGAGTCACATTCCATAGTATAAAAATACCACATCTTTTTTATCCACTCCATGGTTGACGGGCATCTTGGTTGTTTCCAAATTGTGCCCGCTATGAACATGGGTGCACATATATCACTGTGATATGACCTTTTCAGTTTTTCTGGGAAAATACCCAGAAGAGGGATAGCTGGGTTGAATGGAACTTCCAATCCTAGTCTTCTGAGAATTCTCCATACTGACTTCCACAGTGGTTACACCAGTCTACACTCCCACCAACAGTGGAGCAGTGTCCGCTACCACCACCACCACCACCTGCACCCGCAACCTCACCAACATTTGTTATCAGTTGATTTCTTAATGACATCCATTCTTTCCGGAGTGAGATGAAATCTCAGTGCTATTTTAATTTGCATTTCTCAAATGACCAGTGATGGTGAACATTTCTTCATGTATTTATTTGCCATTTGTATATCTTCATCTGACAGCTGTGTGTTTATCTCAGATGCCCATTTTTGGAGAGGATCTTTGAATTTGGGGGGCTTGATGTTTTTCAATTCTTTACATGTTCTGGATATAAGTCCTTTGCCTGGCTAAAATTCTTTCCCATTCTGTGGGTTTTCTTTTCACTCTGTTGATTTCTTTTGAAGGGTTGACCATGCAGTTTGCGTTTTAATATACAGAAATTTAAAAAAAAAATTTTTTTTTTGATACTGAGGATCAAACTCACGACTTTGCACTTGCCAGACAGGTGCTAGTGCCGCTGAGGTAACACCTCAGCCTATAGCACAATGTATGTACCAGTTTTTTCTTTGGATTTTGGGGTTCTTTTTCTCACTAGTTCACCCCTTACTGGAGCATGAAACTTTTTAATTTTGACAGTTTTAGTCCAAAATAATTTTATGTTGTGATTAATTGATCAGTTTATAGATTACGAATATTTTTTCTCATGGTGTGGCTTGTCTTTTTATTTTCTTTATAGTTGCTTCTGATGAGTGGGAATTCTTTATTTTAATGTGGTTAAATTTATCTAGTACATCTTTCTATCCTACAAGAACTAGTTTCTATCCTTAAAGCATAAAGATGTTCACCTATTTTTCTTCTGAAAATTTCACTGTTCGTGATTTCCATCTAAAACTAATTCATTATACATAGTGATTAAGTCTGTTTCTGTTTTTCTCTGTGAACCAATTCCTACCACCTGTTCACTGAATAGCACCTTCTTTCTGTGTTGCTCTGTACTTATATATAACACATTTTTTGCAGAAAGATAATGTATATTTGCTTTTATTTCACTTATTGTCTCAACATAAACATAAATTATAGAGATACATATATACTTAGTGCTAGTCTAAGTCCTCTAAAAGAATTTCTTTTTTCAGTGGTTTGAAAAATGGTGCTTCCAGATATTTTTCCCATTGTGTAATTTCATTACCAACATAAATGTAAATTACACATACATGTATCTTACATATCTTGTACGTATATGTAGATGTATACATCCATCACCTTTTGTGCTAATAGCATTAAAATTCTCCAAAGCAGACCTTTCTTTTAGCTATAGTCTCTTATAACTAGCTGCTTTCTCAGTATCTTCAAGTAGCTATCTCATCGTAACCTAACATTAACCTGTCCAAAATAACTCAGTATTTTATTGTCATTTTCTATCAAAGTCAGTGACGGCTTTATCCTCCTACCTTCTCATCCTATAAATTTAGACACACCCTTCATCATTTTCTCTTTCCCACCTGCAACGTTTTCCTGTTCTGCCTACAAAAGAGCTCTCACATCTTTGTTTCTATTGCCAGCTCTTTAGTTGAAGCCTTTTTTATTGCCTACTGGGCTGGTATTATCTTCCTGTTGATCTTCTAATTTTCTATTCCAGCCTCTTCTACACTCTGTCCCTCTATCTCTGGTGTAATCTACAGAGTTACCTAAGAGTTTTAGTGACTCCTTTGTTCAGTGCCTGTCCTCCCTCCGCTGCTGTGATAATCCTTCTTCTCCCTCCAGCTTCGCCTGCCCTTCTTTCTCATTAGACTGTGGTCTCACCTCTTCGTGGGCTTCTTTTTAACTGCCTCTGAGCTCCTGTCATCTTTATCCTCTGAACTACTTTCTGTTAACTGCCTGGATAACTCTTTGCACATCACCACACAAGGTAGGGATCATTTTCTCCAAAAATCCTTTTTCAAATCACAAACCAACATGCAGATTCCTCTCTTCCATTGATGGCAAACCTTTTAGAGATGAATGCCAAACTGCAACCCAAAACCTACTTATTTATCACAAAGTGCCATCACTGAATACTGAGATTTTCATTTAAAAAACAACCATACATCTTTTGTCTGAAAAGAAAAAATAACACTGATGCCATAGGTTTGCCATCACTGCTGTTTTAGCTTAAAATTCTTTGTACTTGTTATAACACTTAGTACAAATTTAATTTTATGTTTATTCATCCAATTTTTATGAAGTGACAAAAGAATTTCCCATCTTCCCTTCAAACTATAAATTCTGTGACAGAAGATTCAGAGATTATAGATTGTATATTTGTTTTGTTGTGAAGTAATAATAACATGGTAGTTGATTTTTTCATCTCTGTATACATATTTTCACATCAGAGTCACTTGATTTTTTTCTTTAAATGTACAAAAATAGCACATAAATTCATTAGTTGTTATTTCAGAACACTGAATGCTTACCTATATGTGTGTGTGAATGTTTATTTTATCAAAAACTGTATAAATGTAAACTGATGAATTATTGTCATCAATTTTTGTCATTTATATAGTAATTATAAAAATGCCTTTTTTCTTTTTGATAAGCTATAAAACATTAATAATTAATGAGATAAATGATCTTAAGCTGGAGAATGCATCACTGCAAGAAAAAGTAGCCAAGGCTGAAAAAAACACAGAGGATGTTCAACACCAAATATTGAAAACTGAGAGCACAAATCAAGAATATGAGAGGTATGTGGAACTAACAGAGCTGGCCTTGCCTTTTCATGCAGGACAGCTGCAGACTGGACATCTGCAATCAGTGAGCGGAGGAAAAGTAAAAATAGTGTTACAGAGTGGTAGGCATACGGGAGTAAACATATGTGTTTATGATCCTTATGTACTGTTGATAGGAAAGATGGAGTGGAATCAAAATACATCCTCATATGCTAATTGTTATCTAACCCATTGTATCATTCCTGAGTTTCCTTCTAAGGACTCCACGATAATAATCATGAGCAGGATGTCTAGAGTTTGGCTTCCAGTCAATCTAACAGAGTCTTGGTATCACCCACCTACTGCCCTCTTGGTGGAAACCTTGATCAAAAGATTTAAAATCAAACCAAGAGGATTCTTGGGTTGCCTATGGCAGAAATTACTTCCCTAGTTCTTTTGACAGCCAGTACAGCTATTGACTCAACAGTATTAGCACGTTCAATACAAACTGCTCATTTTGTAGATAATTGGACAGAAACTGCTGATGAGAGCTGAAAAATTCAGAGAGAGATTGATAAAAAGTTACAAACCCAGGTGAGCGTTCTAGAGACTTCAGTCCTGTGGATGGGAAATCATATTAAAACCTTACAGTTACAACAAGGTTTAAAGTGTCACTATAACGTGACATGTTTTTGTATCACCCCATTGCCATATAGCAAAAGCTTACATCTTTGGGAGATGATCAAAAGGCATATACAAAGAGCAATTCATCAGAATATTACTGTGGATTCAGACACTCTTCAGAGACTAGTGCTGTCTATGTCACAACAGATAGCTACCTTTGATACCCAAATTAGGGACTGGGATAAATTGGCTGATGCCATAAAACAATTAAATCCATCTGTATACCTCAAGGTTCACTTCATTTTATATCAGAATTGGTGTGCTCATTCTATTCTTTATAAATTTTCTCATTAAAGCCTGTCATAGAGGATTCACTAACCAAAGACTAGAGGCCATACAACCATGACTAGCCCTGCTACAGAACAAGAAAGGGAGAGATGTGGGACGCAACTCACAACTCCAGTGACTACCATTAAATGCAAAACAGTTACTGTGACTTTGATTGTGTGCAGACTTATTTCCTTATACTGATATGTAGAGAGCTGGCTATGGTATTTCCTTCTCCCTTCATTTGGCTCTAAGTATTATAAATAAGGCTAGCTGAGGTATGCTATGTAATCTCTAAAGCCAACAGACAGTCCTGTTTCCTCATGTAGTGTTCTCCATACAGGATATGAACATAGCAGGATGTTAGAGCCAGTAGCTCCGGAATGTCAACTGGATATGAGCCTCAAGGTAAAGAGGCTATGACTCCACAGGGCACAAGAGTTTGCACATCAAAAACCAAAACCACAGCCTCCCAAAACAATTCAGTCACTACCTTAATTAGATTGTATAAATTGATCCTTCTACATATCTTTATCTCTGCAATTTACAGATAAAGCCATCTTCCACCTGGCCAGCCAGCTCTAGTTACTCAAGTAATTCCCAACATCCTCACTGTCACTCATCCCTGAGCCACCCCCTTCTTCACAAGATAATAAATTCTGGAAGAAGCCTAGAATCAAGGCCTTTGTCCATTTGTCCTCATGAGGATTAGACTTAGGACCCCTTGGCTGCCCTTGACTTGGAACATGCCTTGGTGTCTGTACCTTTGCCAATGCATTGGTGGTGGTAGATTAAAATTAACTTGCTGGGATTCCAATAATGTCTCAATGGGATTACAAATATAACTTTGGATTGTGAGGAAAAGTAAAAAGAGGATTACAATACTTGGATGACTGAACTCAATTTTGGGGATTACAATACCTGCCCATGTCTGTAGCTTTAGCAACATTAAGACAGCTTAATGTTTTTGAAAGCCAGCTTTTGATGTTTTTGAAAGCCAGCTATGGCTTCCTCTTGCTTTTGATCATCTTAAATTACAAATTTGTGAACGTATGCATTTTAAAAATTATTGGGGCTGGGGATTTAGCTCAGCGGCATAAGCGCCTGCCTTGCAAGCAGGCAGTCGTGAGTTCGATCCCTGGTACCGATAAAAAGGAAAAAGACAAAAAAAATAAAAATAAAAATAAAAAAAAATAAATAAAAATTATTGTTCTTAAATAAGTCCTTCAGGTGATTTATTTTTAATAGAAAAGAATTAAAATAGCTATAAAATATTCAATTGATTTTCTATCTCAAACCTAAGGATGCTTCGAGATCTGCAGAACAAGTCAGCTATGAAAGAAGCAGAAATTAAAGAAATCACAGTTTCTTCTCTTAAAAACATAACTGATTTGCAAAACAAACTCAAACAACAAGATGAAGACTTTAGGAGGCAAAAAGAAGAGGAGGAGGCAAGGTATTCTAGATTTGGAACTTTAGTTTTCTAATAAACAGAAAAAATTATTTTCTGATGTTTTTAAATTTAATTTTCCTATACAGAAAAGCTGAGAAAGAAAATATAGTGGCAGAATTAACTGGAGAAGTTAATAAATGGCGTGTCCTTTATGAAGAACTATATAATAAAACAGAACCTTTTCAGGTTTGTCACTTAAAATTTAATTTCTTTTAAGAATTCACTTTGCCTTGGAAGCAGGCAGTCGTGAGTTCGATCTCCGGTACCGATAAAAAAGGAAAAAGACAAAAAAAGAAAAAAAAAGAATTCACTTTGTTCCCTGTAACAAATCATGATAGTGTCCTGTGGTTTGTTTTGTTTGTTTGTTTGTTTGTTTATTTATTTTTGGCAGGGTTACTTTGTTTTGTATTTATAATTCCAGTTTAACTTCCTGTGAAAGGCCTATGAATTTTATTATGCATAAATTTTTTTGGCCCTATTGAAATATACTTAACACATATGCATAAATTTTTAATATAGCCTTTGTAAATTAAAAGAGCTTTCTAATAAAGAAGTTAAAGTTGACATTTTAGAAAACTCTCCCAACAGAAACTTTTGACAATTGATTTCTTACAAGAGGGCATATATCCTTTATTAGCAGTTTTCTCAAATTAATACAATGATCTTTTCAAAAGGAAAAAGGGTAAATGCTAATCTGGGCCCTTAAATTGAGTACATGCATATAGTCACCAAAATATGATGATCTGCTGGTATAGATAAAGCTGGCTCACTGGCTTTCTGTCTTTTCCTATTTTAGTGATCTGTAAAATGAAAAATGCAAAGTTTGAAAGATTTATTTAGAGAATCAATGTAGAGCCTTGAGAACAAGGAAGCATATTCTGTTTAAGTCTTAACCTTATAAAAACAAACATCTTTTCCAGCAACAACTGGATGCCTTTGCAGCAGAGAAACTGGCCTTGTTGAATGAACATGGTGCAACTCAGGAACAGCTAAATAAAATAAGAGATTCATATGCTGAATTATTGGGTCATCAGAATCTGAAGCAAAAAATCAAGCATGTTGTGAAATTGAAAGATGAAAATAGCCAACTCAAATCGGTCAGTAAAATAACATTTGTTAAGGTACTGAGATAAAGGGCTCATTCTATGTACATATAATAGTTAAGTGTACTAAGTCTTTAGCTATTAAAAAAACAGTCTATAAAGGAAAATTCATCTGAGACTTAAAGGATTTATTTGAGTGCTGACTAGATGGATATTCAGTGTTCTCAGGGTTTCCAGCTACAATTGAATTTGTATAAAATTACCGTTGTAATGGTCATGGAGACAGATACTATAATTCCAGCACTCAGAAGGCTGAGGCAGGAGGATCACTGTGAGTTTGAGTCCAGCCTGGACTGCATAGTGAGGCCTTGTCTCTAAATAAATACTTTTGTAATTGGAAGACGAGATCAAACTCTATCTTGTGTTTGCCAGGCAAACTTAAGCTACTGAGTTAAATCCCCGGCCTTGGAAGACTTTATAAAACTTTATGCATTAGTTTCCCTTTGTTAAATAGCAAATTCCTTGATAACATGAAAACAGAGAGTGTTCAAAATAGTATTTAAATCTTTTAAAAAGTTTGAAATGTTATTCACATCCCGTACAATTCACCCATTTAAAGTATACAATTGAGGGATTTTTTTCTAGTATGTTCATGGGTGTGTGTAATTATTACTACAGTGAACTTTATTTTGTTTTGTTTTTGAGACAGAGTCTCACTGTGTAGCTTAGGCTAGCCTTGAATTCCTTATCTAATCCTTATCTAATCTGACTTTGAACTTGCTACGATCCGCCTGCCTCATCTTCTCAAGTGCTGCTATTACAAGTGTGCACCACCACACCAGGCTACCACAGTGCAGTTTAGAATATTTTCATTATCTCACAATGAAATCATACGTTCATTATCTTATTCCTGCTACCTTGTTCTACCCAGTCTTCTAAACAACCACAAATCTGCTTTCTACCTTCAGAGATGTTTCTCTTTTAAATATTTCATGTTAGGGTAATCAAATAATTCATAGTACTTTGTCTTTCAATTCGAATAATGTCTTCCAGGTTCATCCTGGTTGTATGAGTATGAGTACTTTGTTCCTTTTTTTATTTTATCCTTTTTATTATCTATGATTCATTAGTGCTATACTTATGTACTCAACAGTTAACAAACATTTGTGTTGTTTCTATGTTATGGCTATGAACATTTTTTCGAGGAAAAAAATGTTCCTCGAAACCTTTGTGTATGAGTTTTACGTAGTCATATATGTTAATTTTTCTGATATACATATATAATAGTGCAATTGATGAATCATGGTTATTCTTTTTAGGAACTATTTTCAAGATGACTATGCCGGGCTGGGGATTTAGCTCAGTGGCATAAGCACCTGCCTTGCAAGCAGGCAGTTGTGAGTTCAATCCCAGGTACCGATAAAAAGGAGAAAGACAAAAAAAAAAAAAGATGACTATGCCATTCTATGTTTCATCCAAAGCATATGACAGTTTCAGTTTTCCCTTATCCTCACCAATACTTTGCATCCCCTTATTTTCTAATGTCACCATTTTAGTAGGTGTAAAAGGAGATTTTATTTTGATTTTGACTAGTTAATCATGTTGATCATGTATTTATACAGTTATTGGCCTTTTGCATATCTCCCTGTGAGAAAGGTTATATAGATCCTTTGTCAAACTTTTAACTGGATTATTGGTTCTTAAATTGTGAGAATATGAATTTTGTACACAACTCTCTTATGATGTATTATTTGCAATTATTTTCTACCAGTCTGGGGATTGCTTTTCATTTTTTGATGATGTAAAGCACAAAATTTTGTTGATGCCTCATTACTTATTCTCTGATATCTAAGAATTATGTGCCAAATCCAAAATTATGAACATTTATTGCTGTATTTTCTTCTATAAGATTTATAGTTTTAGGTCATTGATTCATTTTCAGTTAACGTTTACAGTTAGTGTAAAGTAACAGTAATTTCTTTATAAAGTGTGACTTGCCTTCAACCTATGTTTTGAACAGACCATTCTTTTCCTTAGTAAATGACACTGGCACCCTTTCTGAAAGTCAGTTGCCTATATATATATATATGACTCAATTTCTAGACATTCCATTGTTTTCCTTTCCTCTACACATCTGTCCTGGTTCCACACTATCTTATTATTATTGTTTTATAGAGTGTTTTGCAATCAGGCAGTGTAAGTTCTAGTTAATTTTTCTTCAGAAATTATTTTGTTTATACTCGATCCCTTGCAATTCTGTATGTGTTTTAGAATCAGCTTTTCAGTTTCTACTAATTTAAAGAAATTAGTTTGGACCTGGCAAGCACAAGATCTGAGTTCGAATCCCAGTACCAAAAAAAAAAAAGAAGAAGAAAAACTAGTTTGGATTATGTTGGGAACTGCATAGAATCTGTAAATCAGTGTAGGCAAGTTGCCATTTTAACTGTGTTAAATCTGCTAATCTAGGAGCATAGGCTACTGTCCAGTTATTTATGTCACTTTATATTCTTTCAGCAATATTTTGTAGTTTTCAGAGTATAGTCATCTTTCAGTGTCTGCAGGGAATTGGTTCCACCTAGGATACCTAAATCCATGGATGCTCAAGTGTCTGATATAGAAGTGTAATGTTTGCATATAACCAATGTGTATGCTCCCATGTAGTTTATATCATCTATAGATTACTTGCAATAACAATACCTACGAGATATAGATTACTTACAGTAACAATACCTAGTACAATGTACATGTTTTTTATAATGTCTTGTTTAGGGAATCATAACAAGAAAAATGATTTCACATGTTTAGAAGAGATGTGATTTTTTTTTTTCCTAAATGTTTTTAGTTCCTGGTTAGCTAAATCTGTGGAAGTGAGGCCCACACACATTGAACCTCAGGATACAGAGGGTTGGCTGTCTGGTTTTGCACTTCTTTTGTTAAATTTACTCTTATTTTATTCTTGTTCTTGAAAATGAATTTTTTAAAGTTTGATTTTGGATTATTTATTATAAATCTGTGAAAATATCATGTATAGGTTATATACTGATATTGCATCTTACAATCTTGCTATTATTTCTAAGTAGGTATTTCAGTGGGTTCCATAAAAATTCCATAGAAAATCACATCATGTGCAAATGGAGATATTTGAATTATTTATTAATAATTCACTAATATTTTTAATTATTTATTAATAATTCATTAATAATTTATCAATTATTCACTTCCTTGTAACTGACTTGAACCTACAGTGCCATGTTAAATAGAAATGACAAGAACGGACACTTTATCCTTAACTATGGTGAGAAAGTATTTAGTCTTTAACTAAAATATATGATGTTCATCATCATGACATATACATAGTCTGTTGTTGGGTATGGGTTAGGTATGAATAGATGATCTTCATCAAATTAAGCAAATGCCCTTCTCTTTTACTTTGCAGGGTGTTTTTACCATAATAAGTACTGAATTTTTTCAGGTGCTTCTGTTTTATTGAAACACAATTAAAATGGAGTCCAGGCCTAAGAAAGTCCTAAATAAACAAAACCAACTAGGCCTTAGATATATTAATTAATTTCATTTTAAGTTGTAAAACTTAACTTTTCTAAAACTGCACATGTAACTAAAATTTAACTTGGGTCATTTCTGAGAAATATTTTTGTTAAGGAAAAAAACATAACTTCAACTCTGAGTCATAACAGTGAACTAGCATATAAATGTGACTAATGTTGTAAGCTGTCCCTAAAAATACATGTTGCTGCAGTCATATGTCTTTGTTTTGTCCTCTGCATTTTCTTGCTTCTGATATTTTGTCACTGGAGTATTAAACCTCTGTCTGATCTCCATTTCTTCAGTTGCCTCTAATATAAATACTTAAAAAGTCTAGTATGCCTCAGATTTTTCTTTTACATTTTTGTATCAGGATAATCATGTGATTTATTTTACATTTCATTGACATTTTATAATTTGATTTATAGTTGTTTATCCAACTTTGTATTCCTGAGATAAATTTTACTTGATTATGGTGCTATAATTCTTTTTATATGTAGCTGGATACACTGTGCTAGTATGTGATGATCTTTTTCTTTTTCTTTTTTTAAAGAGAATGAAACAAACAAAACAAAAAATGATGAAAACAGTCTTTGATTTCAAAAACCAGACAGTAGGAAATCAATAGTTCCTATACAGCACATTGTTATCCTCCAAATAGTTGCCAATACTACTAGACTCAAGGATGCAAAACAATATAAGCCCTAAGTTGCTTCTTTATTTCAGCTGCTATCATTTCAGAAGTTTTGGATGTGTGGCTTTTGATTTCTTCTATATCTGTGTCTCCTGGATTTGTTCTGGGTGAGATATAGGCATACAAATTTAATCAAATAATATAAGTACTAAGTTGTTTCTTTACTTCAGTTGCTGTCATTTCAGAGATTTTCCAATTTATTTTGTGTCTATGTCTCCTGGACTTGTTCTGGGTGGTGCTCACCAAGGGCATGGCTGTTTTTTCTTTTTGTGGGATTCCTGGATTACCTCTTTCCGTGGGCTTCAAATCTCACTTCAGATCCTTCCTGGGCCCAGGAGACCCGCTTCCTGCCTTGTCTTCTTCATGTTGCTATACTCCGGTGCCTGGACAGCAACTCTTGGAGAGGCTTTTACTCTGCTTCTTGCCACTCTGCATTCTTTGTGGAAGTTCCTCTTTTTCATATTTCTAGGAGATCTTTGTCTGTAGTTTGTTGTAGGGTTTTTTTGTTCTTGTTTTTTTCCTTATAATATCTTTACTCAAAAAAGGAGTAGAAAGTTGGGCGTGGTGGCTCACACCTCTAATCCCAGCACTCGGGAGGCTGAGGCAAGAGGATCATTGCGAGTTCGAGACCAGCCTGGGCTACAAAGTTGATCCGGCTTGCGGATCAATCCATGGGGTATATACCTGGAGGGGGAACGGGGATGAATAAAACAGGGTGGGAGACAAAGAGGGATTGAGACAAGTTGAGGAGTCCAATCAAGTGTAATTTATTCAGGAAGTGGTTGCATCCTTTATAGGCCAAGGACAGGCTGGTGGG